AGGTAAATTGAAATTGACAAATTCGCCCATCCCTAACCAAAGTGCAAAAAAGCCACCCAGCAACCACTAGGCAGACCTGGGTTTCTTGTTTCTTATCCAGGATTCAGGTAAGGAAGGAAGAGACTCTACTGGCACTAGGAAACAGTTCATTATAAAAGAACTGCTGTAATCGTGACATGTTCCAAGCTGAGCTGAGGGACAACTCCGTGTATTCAAGGCTTGTCACCAGACAAGGTGGCTTTCTGCCGTCTCCTGGACTGGCATAAGCATTAACTTGTGACAGAATTGAATAAATTGAGTTGCACCAACCCACCCACACTGCATTCCCAAGACGGCTTGCGCAGCACATGTTCTTAATAATCTGTTTCCTGACACTGTCTGGCATCTCCTCCTCTAGGATCCTCGGCCGGTTGGTGTCACTTTCAATTCTTTAAAAACGTGTTCCAAGAATTCAAGTGAGACAAAAAGGCGTGAGGGGCGGGGGAAAGAAGCTTCCACCTGCAGGGTGATCACAAGAACTGGCTCCCACGTTGACAGCTAACAGTGAACCTCATAGCGTGGACAGAGTTCCAGCCTAAGCTGCCCCAAAGTAGTAAATGGGGTGTTGCTTTGCCCGTGAGATTTTCAAGCACCTCATTGGTCTCAGACATTTTATCGGAGAGCAAGGGTGAGGAGAAGAAAGAATCGCTGCAGGGGTCTACAAGGGGTGGGTGGGGGTTCATTTACTGTTTGCATTTTAATGAGAATCAATGTCAGACTTCCCAGAACAATATGCAAACCAAAAATGAAACTGTCAACATCCACACATCTCTGACTTGCACAATATAGCTCCCCCCAAACAATAAAAAATTGTACACACACACACACACACACATATCTATCTCCCCCCCCCCCACTCTGGGTGGCTTCCAACAAAATATTAAAAATACTAGAAGAAAAGGGTCCATAAAGTGCCTATATCAGGGAGATGGACATACCAAGATGCACTGTATTAAACTAATTTGTTTGCAAAAATGTGTCTAATGCTAATGAATCACCACAAGAGCTTTTGCTTTAAACTGCAAACCAAATTTCAGACTGGGAGAATAAACGTAAGGCTTATTTGCACGTTACAAGTTCCCTCTAAGCATTTCCAAGTGCCTGTGGGAATCATTCATTGATTAATACAGTTATGCACCCAAGTGGGAATGATTGTGCATTACGTATAAATAACTGTGCAGGTGTACAACTCGGCTATTTGTGTACACAGATTGTACACTCCTGGAATGGAATGTCCAGACAGTGAAACTGACAGGTTTTTCCATTCCTACCTCCTTCTGATTACCTTTTGCATTCAAGTAACCACGCAGCCCATCGCATTAAGACCTAGGGTGGCTCGGCTGAAGGTACAAACATAGAGAGAGCCTGCTGGATGAGGCCAGTGGTTTATCCAGTCCAGGATCCTGTTCTCATAGTGGCCAACCAGATGCCCGTGGGAAACCTGACCCAAGCACAAGAGTACTTTCCCCTCCTGCAGTTCCCAAGAGCAGGGAATGTGTTGAACGTGAAACATGCATGCTAAGCCTCTCCATTAAAATGAAAGGGAGCAGTCCTTCACGAACAAGGGGTCCTTAGGATGTCTCTGAATGGAACGTGCCGTTGGACTATGGTGAAGACTTGCAGAATCAGCGGAAGGGAAAAGCGTAGACTCCTAGCAGCCAGGGAAGGTGGGAGCTGTTGTCCAACATCTGGAGTACAGTGGTACCTCGGGTTACATACGCTTCAGGTGACAGACGCTTCAGGTTGCAGACTCCGCTAACCCAGAAATAGTACCTTGGGTTAAGAACTTTGCTTCAGGATGAGAACAGAAATCGTGCTCCGGCGGCGCGGCAGCAGCAGGAGGCCCCACTAGCTAAAGTGGTGCTTTAGGTTAAGAACAGTTTCAGGTTAAGAACGGACCTCCGGAATGAATTAAGTACTTAACCCGAGGTACCACTGTACTGCGTTCACTCCCCCAAAGAAAGAGTAAAGAGAGGGAATGAATGTGAGCAGCAGTGTCACTCTTCTAGTTGGATGAGGGCAGAAATGTGTGCATTTTATCCTTAAAACACACCTTAGATTACATTTTAGTTCTGATGTGGGACATGGCTCTGTAACTTCCACCCAACCCCTTTGCAGGGCCAAAGTGGTGGTTAAAAAACCTAGACTGGGGCACTTGGTTAAGCATTTAACAACCCCAACAGCCCACATTTAATGCAAAGGTGAGCCCCAAGTGACTGTCCCAAGAGCTAAGCCTATATATGCATGTGTCAGAGCTGCCCTAGGTCCCAGCTCACAAAGGACCAACGCCAGTTCGTTGTTATATAAAACAGTCTTTATTGAAGCTCAGTTCCGCTTTCACAGCCGCGGCGCGCAGCTCTACGTCTTGAACTCTAGACCGCCGAAGCTCCGTCTGAATCTCCTCCCCCCAGACACCAGTTTAAGACTCTAGCCTTGCCCCACCTCTTCCTTTGCTCTCTTCTCCTCTGGGCCCGCCTGTCCGCTGGGGTCTCGCCTCTCCTAGACTCTTCTGACGCTGAGTCTCCTGAGTCCTCCCCCTCCCTCCGGCGGGCTTTAGGACCTGGTTCCCAATCCGGGTTTCCTGCTGTGCCGCGCGCCTGTACATTCGAACTTGGCGCGCGCGCCCAGCCGGCCACCTTCCTCCTGACCGTTACACTGCTCCTGTCACTGCTTCCCCCTTCGGGGAGGCTAGCTGCGCCTGACTCTCCCTCCGTTCCCTCACTCTGCGATGGAGGCGTGGCCACCCCTGCCTCATCTTCTCTCCCTGCTGGAGGAGAAGCTGGCCCTGCTCTCCCGCTGCTGCTTTGGGAGTCCCCGCTGGCCCCTTGCTTCTGGTGTGTCCCCCCTGGGACCCCCCTTGCCCTGGCCATCGGCGCCCCCCTCTGGGAATCTTCTGATTCGCTGGAGAGACTCATGGAATCTCTCGGGCCAGTCTCATACTCCCCTACGCTGCCCTCAGATTCTTCCCCTTCGCTCTCCTTTTCCTCTCTCCCCTGTGCCTCTGCTCCTGAGCCCCTGACAGCATGTTTACTTGGGGGGCTCACGCCTATGTAAGCACCTATAGGACTGCACCTGGGGCTTGTTCTTGATGATGCCTCTGCAAGGCACAGTCCTTTTCGTTCCTGCAGGACTTGTGGAGTAAATGGGTCAGGAGGATGGACTGCATTTCTTTGTTTACTGCTGTTGATAAGTCAATCTTTTGTGTTTTTTCTCCCCTCAAAGGGTATTGGTGCACAGCAAACCTCTCACCTCTGAGACCTTGTTTAAAAAAGCATTATTAATTACCAAAAACCCCACAGGGCCACAGGTTTCTGGTCCTGGAGTCTTCTCCTTTCCAAACCCATGGTCAATACTGGCACAGAGGCTGCTTCTGGGGTTTGGTGCAGGCGTTTCTGTGTTTTTGCACCCACAGAAATCAGGGGATCCCAGAAGATGCGTCAGCTAAACGATGCCCCCTTTCCCACCGCAATGGCACAGCCTCCCACTGTGGAGCGGGAACTATTTGGAAGCAGCTGGAGAGGGATCACTGGCGGAAATAACACAACGCGGTGGGTTGTTTTTTTTCCACACATTCCTGTATAAAATATAACAGTGTTCATTAAGTTATCTTTCGAGCATATGGTTCATGTTTTTACCCTTCAGGCTGTTTTTGTTTCATTTTTGGTGGTGTTTTTTTCTTTTCTTTTCTTCAAAAAAAGTCTTGGTTCCTGCAGGCAGCATCAATCCCTGCTTTGGCACTCGGCTGCGCACAGTTCAGCTCTTCAGAACAAGCACAGGAAAAATGAGATGCTGTCGCCCTGTCAGAATCTGAATGGTAAGGAGAGGCTCCCCTATCAGGGTGGACTAGACTGAGAGAAGTGTGCAAATGACTGCCGGGGCCATGAAGCCTACACAACTGTTGGATGGCTATCCTCCAGGTCTCCCACTGCACATGGGCCCTCTATATCCACAAAGTTGGTCAAGCAGCCTCGAGGGGACAGCTGGCAAGGTTTTCCCAGCATCTCCCTCCCCGATGCCACCATTCTTGTGTTATGCAAGAGAGAGGAAAAAAAGCATGCTGTTTTACTGATTTTTAGATATTGCGTTGGACCGGGGAGGGTGTGGGAGGAGAATGAGCTTAACCAAAAAGATTGTGTTTTGAAAAGCAATCCCATTTTGCAAAATAAACGAGGCGTCTGGCCTCCTGTTCCTAAGCACCTACTATATCAAACGGATGCATCAGGCACATTTGAGCGAGACGTGAAAAATTGGTTTCCTTCTAGCGGCTGCTTCGGTTTCATAGTCGGCCTAATCCCTCGCAAGGCAATCTTCCACAGGCGGCTGTAAATCCTGCCTAACAAGGTTAGGAGAGGAGCTCTTAACTCCCCGGCAGAGCACCTGCTTAGCATGCAGAAGGTCCCAGGTCCCAATCCCCAGTGCACGCTTACTGGGGGTCATGGCCCAGGTAGGGGCTCTGCAGGGGGCAGATGAGTTTCTGTTCCAGTGGAGTCTGATTGGTGGGTGTGGGTGGGTGGTTTTGGGGTGTGTGTGTGTGTGCATGCGCTATTTGGGGAAGAGAACCAGTGAAAAGTTTCACATTCCAACAAGCTGAGCAAGCATTTTGGAGGAAAAGGTCTTGCCACAAAGAGGGTCATACTTGCATAAACCTGGTTCTCCCCCTTCGTCGTCCATAAGAGCCTGCTGGATCAGGCCAAAGGCCTCTCTAGCGCAGCGCCCTGCTCTCAGTGGCCAACCAGGTGCCTGTGGGGAAACAGGGAGCAGAACCTGAACACAAAAGCATTTGCTCCTCCTGTGGTTTCCAGCAACTGGCATTTGAAAGTAACTGTGGAGGCACAAGCCACCATGGCCAGTAACCATTGACGGCCCTCTCGTCCGTTAGGTTTTATTTGTTTTGAGCTTTGTGAGGTTTCGAACTCAACACTTGGGGGGGGGGAGAACACTAAAAAGACACAACGAAGAGGCACGGTTCCACGTTTCTTTTATGGATCAAGACAGACCTTCAACATTCTCAGCAGAACCCTCCGATTCGCTGAAGCTGTCCTCTGCTCCGTCCCTCATCTCGATGTTTCCGTGATGGGCGTGGCTTGGTTCCCTTAGGGGGCAGAGAGGTGCTGTGTCAGGGGCAGCTTTGGGGTGCGGCCCGTTTTTAATGGCATCTATCCAATCGGCACTTCTGGAAACAATTTGGACCTACAAAAGCAGCCCTTTCTAAAACAGCACGAGAAATGAAAGCCAGGTAGCCTTCAAAATTCATCCTTCTGCGAAATTTGTGGCGCAGTTCTCCAACCAAACGATATGTAGAAAAATTAACACACGAGGATGAAGTGTGCATATAAACGCAAGTATTTGTGGGGGAATATACAGTGGTGCAATACAGTTAGAAAGACTGCTTGTAAAAATGTGTACCTTATGTTAAAAATTGCATTCAAAAATGCATAGTTTGGATAAACCTACACCGGAATACTTACAAATTTTCGTAAGCTTTTAATAATAATAACAAATAGCTGTTGAAGTGTGGAGAATTGAATTTTAGATTGGGAAAAGGAAAACCCATGAGAGCAGAAGTTAACAGTTTCATCCATGTCTACTTGTAAGAATCACCTTCTCCTGTATATATACCTGCCTGGGCCTTGAGATCTTCACGGGAGGCCCTTCTACCGGTTAGGTTCATAGGGTTGCAGCCAATGCTAGTCCTACTCAGAGTAGACCCACTGAAGTTAATGCACATGACTAACTTCAATAAGCTCACTGTGGGCAGAATCAGTTTACACCAAGTCCATTGCTCCATTTAGCTCAGTGTTATTTACAAGGTCTGTGTTCACCAGTAACGCTAAGCCATAGTTCACATTAACCACAGTTTATAAACCAACAAGAAACTGTGGCTGGAGAGCATGGTTTGCTCCTGGTTAATAAAGCCATTGATTAAGCTACTGCATGAGAAGTTTGCAAGCAGGAAACTGGGAGAATCAATGACCCTCCAGATGTTCCAGTTACAGATGTTACTAGACTCCTCCAGATGTTACTAGACTCCAACTTCCAACCCGAGACAGCTTGGACAAGGATCAAGAAATTGTAATATTCAGCAAGTTCTCCTACCTCTGAGCTACTGTTATGTCTGCACTGAGCCAAGCAGTATAGAAACAAGCTGGTACAGAGCCATCCTTAAGCCTGCCAGGTACATTTGCCTTTTTCTCAATCCACCTCAAGCTGCTATCGAGCAGTGCCTTCTAATATGCTGCTGCTTCTGGCACTAGTCAATTTGCCAGCTCCACTGACATCCCTTCATTCTCACAAGCAGAGAACAGTCTTCCTTGGGTGATAGGAATGGGTTGTCAGTCACTTCACTAACCTCTTGATGGGGGCTGATGGCTCTGCGCGAGGGCTGCGACTGTCGGCAACTGGCCTGAGGACAGCTTCCAAAACATCATCAAGGCTTGAGTGAGCCCTGCAAAAGAAAAGGAAACACATGCCCCCAAAATCCAGATTATTAGAAAGGATGCTGGCATGTTGAAGGGCTGGGTGCTTGGTGGGGTGGAGACACACACACACAGAGAGAGAGAGAGAGAGAGAGAGAGAGAGAGAGAGAGAGAGAGAGAAAACCATTTTCTCTATCGCTGCCTTTTACTGATACCACTCAAGGTTATTAGGCCTGCAAAGGGAGTTTGAAGAAAGAATTCCAATGCACTTTTTCACTGCCTTTCATTGCTGGCTTACACTGAATGTTGGCTTCTCTGCTTCTTTCGCTCTGCATCCTTGCTGCTATGCAAACAGGGTTTGTTTTATTATTATGAACACAGGATTTTTCTTTATATAGAGACAAGACCTGTTGGGTCCACCTAGCTCAGCATTTTTATCCCTGAATGGCAGCAGCTCTCCAAGATGCCGGGCAGGGAGTCTCTCCCTTCCCCTAACTGGAAATGCCACTGAGGATTGAACCTGAGGTCTTCTGCATGCAAGGCAGATGCTCTATCAATGAGATGATGCTGTCCCATCCCCCACCCCCTGTTGTATTGTAACTTATTGAATTCTGAACGTTGCAGTTTTGATGGGTGTTGTTTTATCTGTATTTTAATTGTATGCACACTTATTTGGAATGAGGTGTGCTAGAAAACCAGTTTGTAAGACTTTTGCATTCAAGTAACCAACTGGCCACGTGACCCGGAAGTGTCTGCGGACAGCGCTGGCTCCCGGCCTATAGAGTGAGATGAGCGCACAACCCTAGAGTCTGGCAAGACTGGCCCGTACGGGCAGGGGTACCTTTACCTTTACCTTAACCAACTGCAGGGTTAAACCCTGTGGGTTAAACCACAGAGCCTAGGACTTCCCGATCAGAAGGTTGGCGGTTCAAATCCTTGCAACGGGGTGAGCTCCTGCTGCTTGGTCCCTGCTCCTGCCAACCTAGCAGTTCGAAAGCACGTCAAAGTGCAAGTAGATAAATAGGTACCGCTCCAGCGGGAAGGTAAAAGGCGTTTCCGTGCGCTGCTCTGGTTCGCCAGAAGCGGCTTAGTCATGCTGGCCACATGACCTGGAAGCTGTACGCCGGCTCCCTCGGCCAGTAAAGCGAGATGAGCGCCCCAACCCCAGAGTCAGCCACGACTGGACCTAATGGTCAGGGGTCCCTTTACCTTTACTTTTAACCAACTGCAGAGAAATGCTGTAGAGCTGATTTAACAACTCTGGAACGCAATGAAGTGCTGGGCAAAGGTTCTCCGCAAACTTTCGGCAGGTGGAGGCAAAGTTTTATTCAGCACTACTGCTTTACAACAGCAGAAGCATTTAAAGGCTGATTGGGCTCCTCAAGTCAGTGGTTTTCAACCAGTGTGCCATGGCAATCTGGGGTGCCTTGAATGATGGTCAGAGGTGCTGCGGGCAACACTGGCCTCTATCCCTCTTTCCTTCCCTCCCTCCTCTGATGCCCTCTGGCATCTCTGCCTCCCAAAGGCTTGCAGAGATGTTTATTGCAGCAGCCCTGGCTATAAGCTCTGCAGACGAATGGTGCCTTTGGAGCTGGTGATGGGGTGCTGGTTGCCAGGAGCGGAAGCAGACTCAGAAAAGCCCGGCCAGCCAGTCCATCAGCCCTCACTGTTGGGAATGGACGGACTGCCCTGTGGGGCAGTGAGAGTAGGCACCTCTTTGGTGTGGGAGGGCAGCTCAGAGAGCAGGGATGGCGACAGCAGATGCCCGGAGAACTCCCAAGGAGAGGGGAGAGGAGAGGAGGCTGAGGGAGGACTCTGCAAGGGGGTTGTTCGGAAAAGAGCGAGAGGCTGCCAGCTCTGCAGGCAAGGGGTGACATAACTGGGCTCCTGAGCCCTACAGGGGTGCCACAGAAAGAATGTAATTGGTTAAGGGAGCTGTGGACTCAAAAAGGTTGAACACCTCTGCCTTAAGTGATCAGGGAACTGGCAATGGAAAGAGCCCATCTTGCTGGACTGAAGCAAAATTAATCTCTCTCACACCCATCCCAGTTCTAGAAGCTTGCTGTGTACCTGTCTGTATCTTCTTCTAGACACAAAGTGTCATTGTTCCAGAGGCTGCCATCAGCTTTGCACTCGTCCAGCTTTATTTCTTTATCTTCTGGATCTGCTTGCTCAGGAATCACTGGCATCAAAAGAGCATTAACAGGATACGTCAAAGAGCTGGAGATATTCTGGAGCGTTTTTGCCAAACAATCCCTAGCTCAGCCAGTTTCAAGATCTGGCAATGGACACCCGGTCCAGCCTGCGCCTTCTATAAAAACTGAAATTCCACTTTACCGCACCGGCAACTTCGAAGGAGCTTCCAAGAATAGTTTTCTGATCTACAGTGGTACCTTGGTTTAGTCCAGTTTAAGAACGATTTGGTTTACGAACTCCGCAAAACTGGAGTGTCTTGGTTTGAGAACTTTACCTTGGTCTAAGAATGGAATCCGAATTGTGGAAGGGCACCGGCGGCGGGAGGCCTCATTAGGGAAAGCACACCTTGGTTTAAGAACGGTTTCGGTTTAAGAACAGACTTCGCGAACAGATTAAGTTCGTAAACCAAGGTACCACTGTATTTTCAAAGCATCAGGGCAGCTGTCGTGCTCCATTATTTTGTTTGCATTTATTCGCACATCTGAATTGGGCAGCATTTTATAAATCGTAGCATTTAGGGAGCTGAGTTCGGTGGGCCCTTAGGGGCTGCTGATGAGGTGGTGTGTTGTGGACGTTATATTCGTGAGACTCAGGAACCCTCAATCTGCACACTGCCTGCCCTACCTTCCTGGAGCTGGCTCTCCTGAGCAGAAGGGGGAGCCTCCAATTCTTTCTGACCCCTCTGAAGTTGCAACTGTACGCCAGGGGGTTCCGACGAGGCACCCTGTGAAACATAAATGCTCAGAGGTGGTTTTTTTAAGGCGTTAAGATCGACAAGGGCGGCCCCAGCTCCCTTTTCCTTAATCAGAATTAACCCTAGGATGGGTCAGAAACAGGGATATGTGCTTAAAGAAATTGTGGACTTTGGTACAGATTCACTTGGTCCACACACCCTGCTCTCCTGGGGTAATATGCAGCTGGACGCTTCATCTATTTACTTCCTTGCAAACAATTTATATACCCGTGGGGGAGGACACAAAGCAGTTTACGAAAAGAACAATAAAATCAGTAAAAACATCCACTTAAAAACAAGATAACTCAGCTGGTAAGAGTGCGAGATTTTAATCTCAGGGTCTTGGGTTCGAGCCCCATGTTGGGCGAAATATTCCTGCATTGCAGGGTGTTGGACTAGATGATCCTCGTGGTCCCTTTCGACTCTACATGCTTTTAGCAGGTGCCGAAAGGGGTACAGTGAAGGCACGGCCTCGTGTCAATAAGCAGGGAGTTCCAAAGTGTGGATGCTGCCACGCTAAAAGATCACTTTCTTACAAATTCGGAACGAGTGCTTTGTGGCACCTGTGACCAGTGCCAGCTCTGCAGATTGAAGCAGACTACACAGCATCAGGTGATCTTGCAGGTAAACTTATGTTACTTACCAGCTTTTGCACTTCCTGGCTGAACAAAGTACTATGAAAATAGCTTTACAGAGAATTATGAAAGAAGACCATCAGTTGCTTATGCTAAATGCCCATGGGGGCAGGGAGACAAGAGGGAGACATATTGACAAGAGGGGGCCAACATCCCCCCCCCACTGCCCAGGGGAGGCAGGGCCACATATTGCAAGGCTGATTGGAATAGCCAGCTCCTTCAACCTCCCCTGGCAGTGACTCTCCAGGAATTCAGACAGGGAGCTTCTCCCAGCCCCACCTGGAGATGCTGTGGGGCTGAACTCGGGACCTTCTGCATGCATAGCACGCACTCTGCCTATGAGTTATGGCCCTTCTCCAGATTAGTGAAAATAATTTGTCCTCACTCCCTGCCTCCCCGCTCAGTCACTAGGGGATACAAAAGCTTCTCGTGCCATGCTGACTGATGAGCAAAGCTGGTCATGTTTTTGGGGGAGGGAACATGCCTGGCCCTTGCCTAATTGCAAAAAACATTTCCCCCCCCCTTTTCCATGGGAGGGAAGCAGTTGATTAAAGGGAAAACTCCCTCTAGTCATTTATCCTTCCAGCCTGGCCTCCTTGGTCTGGAATTCTGCACGGCGACTCCAGCCAAGATGAATCTGCGGCCCCTAATGAGTTTAATAAGCACCGGCAGGCTGCCTGGCCAGTCCCTGAGTAGGCGGCAGTGACCTGCCGACTGCTGTTGTGGTTCGGTGACCTCCAATTTTCGTCTAGAAGCAGCAACAGCCCTGCCGATGAATGACAACCGGGCGGGCGGGCGAGGGGGGGGGAGCACGAGGGGAACTCGGCAGCTCCTTAGAATTCTATTGAATGGCAGGGGAGATAATGGAGGGGAAGAGCTGCTGCAACACAGATCAAGGGGACCGGCTGAGGTTGCCTTGGAAATGTGCTGAGAGAACAGAGCAAGGGCTGTTTGACACCACAGAACTGATAATGTCTCCCCGACTGCTTGTTGCTTTAACAAACGTGGGCACATTACATCACTTTCTGAGGTTTTCTTGGGAGGCTTTCTTGACATTTTAAGAAAAGCTGTGCTAAAACAAAGACCAAACTCTTAAGGGCAAGGCTGGTGCCGAGGTTTGGCGAGTTTCGGTGTTTCCTAGGGGTCCCCCTTAGGACTAGCAAATGGCCCCCACCAACCAGCAGGAAGTGGATTTCCCATTCCATGCTCCAATTATAGTTTCACATCACACCTGCTTTTCAGTTCAAGTCAGAGCATTTCTAAGATCGGCTTCAGGATGAGTGAAGAATGTGCAGAAGCTTGCTTGTTTTCAGTTTATTGTCTCCCCACCCCGCCCAATTAGATTTTTTGATGTGCGACAGCACACAACACGCATTGATGAAACTGCAGGACACACACAAAAAGGAATCTTGATGGGGTAACTGCATTATTGTAGTTGGATTCTTTCTGCAGTTGCCTGGGTAGGAGGGAAACTGGATTTTTACTCTGAACTCTGTGTAAGCCCTGACTGACTCAACAACAACTTTGACTTATCTGATTAGTCACATGAGGCAGCAGGTTCCCAACAACTATAAAATTATGTTTTGTGGAAGCAGCGGTCATTGCTGTTTTCGACACTGGGAAAAGTGGGAGAACACACTTTGTGTGGAATATCCTATTTGCATCCTCAGGAAATGTACATTATTTGTGCATTTTGAAAAACAAAAAAAGGGATATGATATAATATTAGGTTATGTTTGCAGTGAAGGACACATCAACAAGCAAGCAGCTGCTCTGGCTGAAAACCTTCCTTCAGCCACTGATGGAGGAAAGAAATGGGCTACATTCCAGGAAAGAGTTTGTTGTCAAAACTCTCCCCAAAGACTGCAGACCTGCAGCCCGTGTTTTGTCTTCTATTATATGTTACAGTTATTTTCCTACCTGTGCCGTTAATTCTTTCTCTCTCTTCTCATATTGAGGTGTGTGTGTGTGTGTGTGTGTGTGTGTGTGTGTATGCATGCTATATCCAAGGATAACATAGCATATTTTCATACTTTGGGTCTTTCTGTTCTCTATATACTCATTCAGGGAACCTCATAAGAACAGCTTGCTGGATCAGGCCAATGGCCCGCCTAGTCCAGCCCCCTCCTCTCACAGTGGCGAACCCAAAGCCTTTAATGAGAAATCCGCAAGCAGGACCAAAGCACGAGAGCCCTCTGGTCTCCTGTGGCCTCCAGCAACTGGTATTTGGCAGCATCGCTGCCCCCAGCCATGGAGGCAGAGCAGAGCCATCCAGGCTAGTAGCCAACCAGAGCCCTCTCTTCCTCCATGAATTTGTCTAATCCTCGTTTAAAGCCATCCAAGTTGGTGGCCATCCCTGCCTCCTGTGGCAAGGAGTTCCACAGTTTAACTATGGGTTGCATGAAGGAGGATTTTCTTTCCTCTGTCCTGAATCTTCCAACGTTCAGCTTTGTTGAGGCTCCACAAGTTCTAGTGTTATAAGGGAGAAACACTTTTCTGCCTGGCATGCACAGTTATATCATTATGTTGACTGCATTCATTGTTGACTGCACTTTGTGCAGATCTAGACCATCAGCTGACCTAGCTCAGTGCTGCCTGCACTGACAGGCAGCCGTGGCTCTCCAGGGTTTCAGGGGAGAGGATGATTCCCAGCCCCCCCCCCACACACAGATGCCTAGGACTGAACTTGGGACCCTGTGCATGCAGAGCACATCATGCTCCACCGCTGAGTGACATAGCCCTGAAGCACACGTTCAAAAGCTGAGCTGCGGTTGCAAACAACTTCCCTCTTGCAACTTGTTCTTCTTATGTGTTGGGGAGGAGGGAAGTCCACGTGCCCTGCGGTTCTGACCACAATTCAACTCACCGTTTTGGAGACTGCGTCTGACGGCTGCTGGAGGGTGGGGGGCAACTCTACGATCTTCCCTTGGGCACAGGCAGTGGCAAAGGTGCTGAATCCCAACAGGGAGGCCTCCCGGCTCCCCCAGCCTGTCGTGTCTATTGTCACACAGTAGTCCTTGTACTTCGTGATGGTGGAGGAAAACCTGGGCGGCGCCTGTGCTGAAAAGACGTGGCAAAACATAGTGAGAGGGGGAGCCCTGTAAGAACACCTCCCCCTTTTTTTGCCACACAGCAAAAAGTCACAAAAGGCCACCTTCTTCAGCCCAAGGGCCGCATTCCCCCGTGGGTAACCTTTCAGGGGCCAAATGCCAGAGGTGGGTGTGGCCAGAGGCAAAAACTGGGCACTTTTGTCCAGTTGCTTATGTTTCAGCCATGGACAATTCAGAGGTTTTTCTAGGGACATGTACACAAAGTCCTGCTATCTGAACATAATTTGTTCTGAGGAAATGGTCAGTCAGGCCAACGTTAGCATAACAAGTCAGCACTTTCTATTGACTCCTATGGGAACATTTCTAATGTGTTCCCGACAGCAGAATTTTGACCCCAGGATGATGAAAAAAAACCAGGGGGACAATGTGGCATGAAACCTCTAAAGCCATTTAACTCACCCCTAATCTAAGTGATTTAACAGCACCGCTGAACCCCAGGATCAGGGCTTCCCGAACTCCAGATGGCTAAGGCACCCACCTAAATAAAATATCCACTCCCCTCTTTAACACACCCACCCACACCAAAGGTTTAGCTTTTAAAGCACGCAACAGCAAGGTCCAGTTGCATTCAGAGAAATCCAGTTCCTGCTGGAGTCTATGTTCCAGCTATATCTCCTTACCTGAAACACTGGGAGGCAACAACAGTGACTCATGCAGGGAAACAGCAGGCAGCCTCCCCCCCTCCATTACTGCAAGAGCGAGTAATTCCACTGCGTCTCAGCAGCAGAAGCAACTGAACATGTTCCTGACACAGCTGCTGCAAAGTAGCCTGCAGAGGCAGATTGTCCAGAGCAGCCAATCCATTTTTTATGACCATATCTATACTGTTTAATATATATGAACAGCTCATGCAGAGATGCACCAGGCAGCCTCTTGTATAGGCCCAGTGCTTTGAGGCTCGCAGAAGCTCTTGATTACGGAATTCTGTTTCTTGCAGCACAATGGCAGTCCTCTCAATCAGTGCAGGGGCTGGGGATTAGCGCCTGAGATTGACAGCCAAGGCCCGCCTCCTCCATCCCTCACCTGTTACCTGGGCTAAGCGGAGTGCTGGCATCCATGGGCGAGTGACTGTTTCTAGGAGTTGTGTATGGCGTTGCCTTCAGCGTCTCCTCGCAGATGATGCTGGACAAGTCCTGAATATCGATGAGTGACCTAAACAAGGCAGAAGCAAGAGGTAGATGATTTGCCACAACCATGCTGGGAATGAATAGGTCATCAGATGCCAACTCTGGGACCAGAATTTGGGCCCTGCGAGAGGTGCAGCCTTTCCAAGAATTGTCTTAGGAACAACCAGAAGCTGCTTTGTACTGAGCCAGGGGCAGAGAACCTGCTTTGCGAGCAGAAGGTCCCAAGTTCAATCCCCGGCGTCTCTGGGCAGAAACCCTGGAGAGCTGCTGCCAGTCAGTGCAGACAGTACTAGGCTGGATGGACTAAAGATCTGACTCAGCATAAGCTGTACAGTGGTACCTCGCAAGACGAACGCCTCGCAAGACGGAAAACCCGCTAGCGAAAGGGTTTTCCGTTTTGGAGGCGCTTCGCAAAACGAATTTCCCTATGGGCTTGCTTCGCAAGACGACAGCCCATAGGGAAATCTCCGGGACAGCGGGGAAGCGCAGTGCGTCTTCCCCGCTGTCCTTGGACCTCCTCCGAAGCCTGGTGGCGGGGCGGGGACACCTCCTCCCGCCGCCGCCGGGCTTCGGAACGATGCCCCGATGCCGGGCGGGGGGGGAACGCCGCCGCCGCCGCCCGCCATCTGGACGATGCCCTGATCCCGGGCGGCGGGGGGGGGAACGCCTCCGCCGCCGCGCGCCATCGGGACGATGCCCCGATCCCGGGCGGCGGGGCAGGAACGCCTCCCCCCGCCGCCCGCCATCGGGACGATGCCCCGATCCCGGGCGGCGGGGGGGGGGAACGCCTCCGCCGCCGCGCGCCATCGGGACGATGCCCCGATCCCGGGCGGCGGGGCAGGAACGCCTCCCCCCGCCGCCCGCCATCGGGACGATGCCCCGATCCCGGGCGGCGGGGGGGGGAACGCCTCCGCCGCCGCCCGCCATCGGGACGATGCCCCGATCCCGGGCGGCGGGGGGGGGGGAACGCCTCCGCCGCCGCGCGCCATCGGGACGATGCCCCGATCCCGGGAGGCGGGGCGGGAAGCCTGGGCGCGCTGATCTCAGCGCGCGCAGGCTTCGGCATGCTGGCACCTGTCCGCAAGCAGCGGCAGCGCTGCCGCTGCTTGCGGAGAGGTCCGCGAAGCCTGGGCCGGACAGCTTTTGAAGGCAGGCGGGGGGAGCAAAGACTTTCGCCCCCCGCCAGCCTTTAGAAGAGGTCCAGGACCTCTTCTGAAGGCTGGCGGGGGCGAAAGTCTTTGTCCCCCCTGCCTGCCTTCCCAGGGGCTTTTAAATCGCCCCGGACAGCGGAGAAGTCCTCCGCTGTCCCGGGTGATTTTAAAATGCCGCCCGTCAGCATTTTAAGATCGCCCCGGACAGCGGAGACGTCCTCCGCTGTCCCGGGGTTTTTTAAAATGCTGGGGGTGGGAAGAAAAGCCCTTGTCCCCCCCCCAGCCTTCAGAAGAGGTCGGGGGACAGACTGTCCCCGGACCTGGTCTGAAGTCGGTTTCCCTAGGAACGCATTAATTGATTTTCAATGCATTCCTATGGGAAACCGTGCATCGCAAGACGAAAAACTCGCAAGACGAAGAGACTTGCGGAACGAATTAATTTCGTCTTGCGAGGCACCACTGTAGTTCTATAGTAGAGCATCTGCTCCACACGCCCAAGGTCCCAGGTTCAATCCCAGGTGTCTTCAGCCAGGTCTCCTGTCTGAAACTGTCAAGAGACCAGGCTGAGGAGTACAACTCTGATGAGGAATGGTGGGAGCCTACCCCTCCCCCTGCTCATGGCCAGGATCCTGAAACTTCACAGGAGCAGTGGAGTAGTGTTGATTTGGAACAACGGTTTGCCGAGGGTCGCAGTTTGGAAGATAATAGCTGGGCAGAACTGGGAGGTGAACAGCAAGGAGAAGAAAGGGAAGAGAGTGAGATAGCAGGCTCTCTCTCACCGGAAGATGTGCAGCCTCTCAGTACCAAGGTTAGGAGGTTAGATAAGGTGGCTTCGCAAAAGGCTCAGTGGTTGAGAAATCAGGTGGCTAGGAGATGGGAGGACGGAAGTGACTAGAGGGAAGTGCACTCCGAGAACGGACGCTTGTTCTTTCGCTGCGCTCATTAAACATTTCTGTTACTGGTAAGAGACTGCTTTCTCTTTGTACTGCTTATCTACGGCCAAGCGGGGAAGAAGCCGAGCCTCCAAAGCCTGACAGAAACCTTGGGGTGGTGCTGCTGGTCAGTGTGGGCAATACTGAGCTAGACAGACCAATGGCCTAACTCGGTATGAGGCAGCTCCCTCTGCTCCTAATCCTTGTCCTCTGCCACAGACCCCAGTGAAAACCATCCCTTCTCACTCCACACCGTTACTCGCCCAGGGAGGAAAGTTGCCCTAGGGCTGCGAAATATCTGGTTTTCAATATTGTGATACGCCACCAGCTAGCTAAACACTGTGATATACCGATATATCGCAATGTCTCAAATAAGGATGCAGCTATGCAGAGGCATTGGCTGGCTTCACGGTTTTTCCCACGTAGTGATTTTCGCATAGCGTGTCACATGCACACACCCAGATTCGTGTGTGTGTGTCTGTGTGTGTGTGAGTGAGAGAGAAAGTAATGGGCACACACACACACACGGCAAGAAAAAGATTGCCATGCATTCCAAGATCCAAGTCCTTTGTGAAAGTCTACAATTACAACCACTCGATTCCTATCAGCTATTCCACTGATGTTCCCCTTGACAAAACCGTTGTCAACAAGGATGTCTTTAGGGACCCTGTGCTGAAGTATAAAGCCCAGCGGGAGGCCAAAGTGAAATTCAAGGAAAGATATAGTGGTGCCCCGCAGGACAAATGCCTCGCAAGACGGAAAACCCGCTAGACGAAAGGGTTTTCCATTTTGGAGGTGCTTCGCAAAATGAATTTCCTATGGGCTTGCTTCGCAAGACGAAAATGTCTTGCGAGTTCCTGCAGGGTTTTTTTCCTCCCCCCCCCTTTTTCCCAAGCCGCTAAGCCGCTAAACAGCTGATCCGCTAAGCCGCTAAACAGCTGATCGCTAAGCCGCTTATCTGTTGATCCGCTAAGCCGCTTAACAGCTGGTCGCTAAGCCGCTTATCAGCTGATCAGCTAAGCCGCTAATAGCGCTAATCCGCTAATGGGCTTGCTTCGCAAGACGAAAAAACTGCAAGACGAAGAGACTCACGGAACGGATTCTTTTCGTCTTGCGAGGCACCACTGTACAAGACACGCAAGAGCAAGTGGTTTCTTCCAGAAGCTCAGATTCTGAGTGGCATGTATTTGCACCAATAAATATTTTTGAAAAGCCAAAAACAACAACAACAACCCAGCGACGTCAAGCACTTACACTTCTTTCTCTTTGAACTCTTCTGGTGCCTTGCTGGGCCTCACAAACTGCGTAGTTCCGGTGCTAGGGGAAGAAAAATAGGTATACGGGGGCTGGTGTTAACTGATTCTCTTGGAGTGACATAAAAGAGAGATTTTCATATGTGTGTGTGTGTATTGCTAAGGAATTTTCCAGAGTAAACCAAAGTTGCTTCCATGGAACCTCTTCTTCCTCAGTGTTCAACCTGATTTGACTGTGCTAAGTTTACAGGGAGGTTATATTAGAGACTTCCAGATCACTGCTATTTCCCAGGTAGGGTTCAATCGAATGCTAGCAGATTAAGGCTGAACAAAGAAAGTAGATCTGGTCCTCTTGTGCTACAAACCCACTTCCAGGAGGCGGGGAGGGGGGACACCTGGAATTTCTGTGATAAAAGCAGAAAGCACATTGGGAAGGGCAGGATAAACACTAGCTCCAATGCAACATCATATAACCTCCGGCAAACCCATTGGAACTAACGCTTGACAAACTTAACTTAAGTGCACTTTGTGCAAGGAGGTGACAGGTCTTCGGAAAGCAATTATTGCGCAATATTCAAGCTGTGATTCCTAGATTGCAGGAAGATGAACTAGATGTCCTTTGGGGGTCCCTGCCAACTCCACAATGCTATGATATGAAGTGGGTAAAAGGAAAGGACATGGTGTTTGGGTCCGGGGAGTGGGATAAAATGTAGTAAGAGCAGACTGGCATTAAAGAAAGTAAAGCTCCTCATGCTTCTAGATCTCATGGTGGCAGGAAACATTTATTTGCCTAAGAATTTAATTACACAACACGTCCAGTAGTTTTCACAGTGCACCTGCACCTAAAATTAGAAATAAAAACTTGGAGAAACAAACCCACGGTCCACTGGATCCAGGCTTCAGCTTCTTCAAGCTTATGCTGTTTTAGTGGAGGCATGTGTTAATTACTATGCTCAGCTTTCTCTCCACCCCCCCTCCCTCTAATTGCAACTCCTTCATTAGGCAAAATCCGAGAAGTGGCAACAACAGCGTAAAAAGCTAAGTTTTGTCGGGGGCTTATAAAGATGATTGCAAATGTTTTCGCTTGCTAGGGAGTGCACAGAGATCTCCATTTACATAACACGCACACCTGGCAACTTGCTTGGGGCACCGAGCTGGTGGGATTAATAACAAAAAAGCACACAACCTAATTTACGTCTGAAGTGGCAGCCCGGCAGACGGACACGTCCTACCTGGCTGCAGGTGTAAACAAATCCTCCCCTGGCGCCTTGCTAGGGAGATGTTTCGCCTCTGCGCCGCAGTGGGGAAATAGTTTTCCTCCTAAACACAAATAACAAAATGTGCTCGTTTGGGGGCGGTGCGGGGGTTGCAAGGGGGGGGGAAGGGTGCTGGAGGGGGGAGAGAGAACGACATAAGCTACTGAAAAGGAAATCATGGCTTTCAGCAGTTGGCAAAGATAAATGTGTTTTTAAAGAGATCTTTCTTTTCCTCTCCGCTCCTTTTAATAAACACATCCCGAGCTCCTGGGGGTGCTGAAATATTTACAGATCCTCAGTGAATAGCAACCCAATGTTGGAGCAGATGTACGAAGCTACCTGCCCCCCCCCTTCCAGGGTGGAAAATGTGTGTGGGGGGGATCTAATTCAATCCCCCAGCCGGCTCTTGTAAGTCAAATGCACAGGGTTGCTGAATCAGCAATGGGTTGTCATGGATGTTGATAGAGATAATAAGATTTTCTAACCGTGGCGCTACAGGGGTAAGAAGCCCGGCGGAATACAGAAGACAGCGCTCCCCACTCCCGGCTCGCTTAGGCTTCTCAGTGTGTACGTATGTGCGAGAGAGATCAAAGCACCTCAAACATAATCCTGCCTGATAAAACAGGACTGATAAAAGAAAAGACTTCTACATGCAGCGCAGAGTTCCGACTCTGGTACTCGCTCCCAAAGGAGGGAGGAGGCTATCAAGGGCCACCAGCCATGATGGCTGGGCTCTGCCTCAACGGTCAGAGGCAGCAATGCTTCCGGACACCAGTTGCTGGAAACCGCAGGAGCTGAGAATTGCCATTGCGCCCAGGTCTGGCTTGCCTGTTTCCCCAGAGGTATCTGGCTGGGCAGAGTGAGAACGAGATGCTGGACTCAGGCGCAATCTTGTGTTTCTAAGAACCTGTGTGCAAGGAATCTTAAGCAGACCTTTCGCCTTCCGACGCTTGAGAGCTGGGGAATCGGTGCCCCTGGATAGCAACCCCTGCCACCCCTGACCACTGTTGGTGCTGCATCTGGGGGCTGAGGGGAGATGGCGCCCCAACAATCTTTGCAAGGACCAAAAAGGTTCCCATCCCTGCTTTAAGAAGAAGAAAAAGACAGCCATGCTGACAGATGGCAAAGACACACTACAAACTTGTAAAAATAAAAAAAAGTAATAAAAATCAACTTGCGTTGCTCTGCGTCTGTGGGGCATTCTTTCCTCCCACAGATTTCTTGGAATGTTTCCAAGTCGTCTTCCTGACTGCAAATATCTTGGGTGATTTCCAGGTCTTCTTCTTCAACAGCAGTTGAGTTCTGAAGAGAACAACAACAAGGAAAGATTTGGTTTCTAGAGGGGAAGCTTGGAAACAGAGAGCCAAGTCTCTGAACCGCTGGGAATTAAGGAGCTGGCCCAACAAAAACCACTTGGGAGATCCAGAGTTGAACACTAGGAAAGGTGTCAGAGAGAGTCTGCCTCAGGACATCAGTGGAAAGAGTGTTGCAGTTGAGCACAGATCCTGCTTGCTACTGCGAGAGCAGGAAGCTGGACCAGGTGGGTCTCCCTTTGGCCTGATCCAGCTTGCAGGTCTCTTCTGATGTTCCTAAGGATGCCCTGCTGGAAACGACTAACTGCTTTAATTGCTCATTTCTGTACCTTTTCATGTCAGATTAATTTCTTCCTCAATGGAAAGGATTCTCAATGGCTACTACCAACAATGTCTCTGTTCTGCCTCCACTGTTGGAGGCAGTAAATGCCTCTGAATTTCAAGAGCTTCTGGGAATCACAAGTGGGGAGTGCCAATTCTGCTCCTGGGCCACTGTAAAAACAGGACATTTGGCTCCCTCTGGCTGATACGGCAGGGTGGTTCTTAAGAGCAGGTCTGAAGCTCCCATCACCTTCACTGATCTGAGAGCCCAACAGCGCCAGAAAGGCCACAGATTCCCCAGTTCTCTTACACAACTGAGACACATCATAGAACCCTAGAGTGGGATAGGACCCCTGAGGCCATCTGCTCCAACCCCCTGCAATGCAGGAATCTCAGCTAAAGCATCCATGACAAGAAGGCCATTCAACCTCTGCTTAAAAGCCTCCAAGGAAGGAGAGTCCACAACCTCACGAGGGAGTCCGTTCCACTGTCGAATGGCTCTTGCTGTCAGAAAGTTCTCCCTGGTGTTTAGTAAAGGGTGATGCACAGTGCAGGGTAAGTTGATAAGGAGATCTTTCTCTTCCCCGCTCTCATACGTTGGGGACATTCAGTAAAGATGCAATGTTGGGAGAATCAAGGACAGACAAAGCAAAGGACTTTGTCACATGGTGCATGGTTAAACTATGGAAGGCTTCCCCCAAGTTGGAAGGCTTTAAAATTAGACACATCCACAAGGGCTTTGCTCCACCTCCGCTGTCAGAGGGCAATATGCCTCCGAATGTCAGTTTCTGGGAATGGCAGGTGGGCCAAGTGCTCTTGCTCTCATGCTCAGCTTGTGCACTTCCCATGAGGGCATCTGTTCGGCCACTGTGTGCACAAGGTGCTGGGCTAGTTAGGCCTTGGCCTGATCCACCCCCACAGGGCTCTTGTGTTCATTGACACCACACTGCGCCCCCCACTCTTGACTTTGCTTGCCATCAATGATGGCAGCGCGCAACCAAACCTGATAGGGTTGGCTGCCATGAGGAGGCAGGAGTAGAAGGAGCTTTTCAGGTGCGGGAACTGCCAACCCACCCCTTGAGGAGCACTAGACAACAAGGCCACCACTAGCAACAACCCTTCAGCTCCAGGGTTTTGTGACCAGGAAGCCCAGGGCTCTGCAGGCAGACATTCCCGCGCAATGCCTCCCTTCCTCTTACCTCCGGTTCTGCATTCTCAGGAGGAAATGAGGAGCAGTAGAAGAACTCTGCGTCAGGAGTGAAGAACTCTTCTGATACATCAAGGGAGGGAGACAGGGAGGGGCCCAGTTCCTCCAACTGCCCGTAAAAAAAGAAGGAAAACGTGAAGATTAGAAACCTACCATCTGGGAAAGGGGCTGTGGTTCAGTGGCTATTGAATCTGCTGTGCACATGGAAGGCACCAGGTTCAAATCCCAGCCTCTGCATGTAGGGCTGGGAGAGACTCCCTGTCTGAAACGCAAGAGAGCCGCCGCTGCCAATCAGATAAATGGGCCAGTGGTCTGACTCTGCGTAGGGCAGCTTCCTATAGTCCCACTGATAAAGGGATACAGCTATTTGTATTTACAACATTTCACTATCATCATCATCATCATCATCACCATCATCATCAGTAGTGCTATTTTTCTAGAAAAAGAGTTGCCAGAACTCACTAGGAACACCTCCCTCATTTTCTTGGAATGGCAGTGGCACCCACCTGAGAGGTGCCAGAACTGAGTTCCTGTGAGTTTCGGCTGGAAAAAAAGCCCTGATTATTATTATCAATGACATTTATATACCGCCTTTTTTCTTCCATGGATCTCAACGTGGCTAAAATGGTTCTCGTCCTCCCCATTTCATCCTCACAACAACCCTGTGAGGTAGGTGAGGCTAAGAGATGGTGACTGACTCCAAGGTCACAGCCAGGGAGTTTCATGGCTGAGTGGGGATTCAAACCTTGCTCTCCCGGGTCCTGGTCCAACACTCTGACCAATACACTGCACTGGCTTTTCATACTGCCATTAATTGTATTAGATTTCAGGATTAGATTAAAAGCACTGCAAAACACAGACATCTGCATTCCCTCAGTGTTTGGACCCACCCGCCACTGGGATGCGGCCCCTGGAAGGTTGCCCCCAAGAGAATGTGGCCCTCCGACCTAAAATGTTTCCCCACCACTGATGTACATGTACAGCTCCCCCAATCTTCTGTTCCCACAGCCCAAGCACTTCAAGCTTTTATCTGACAAATTGTTAATGCAGACAGATAGCCAAGAGGACTGCAGCTGGCTTCCCGCCAGGACGTAACAAGGAGAGCTTGAGGGAAATTCCTAAGAGGGGTCAGGGGAACCCTTCAAAGTAACTGTCTGGGCGGAGAAGCAGGGGGAGCACTTCCATTACCAACCTCTCTTTGCCACTGTTCAATCCTAACCTTCAGGTAGGGACGGTGACCAAAAGCCAGCACGGTTAGACAGGTACCTGCTGATGGCCCACGTCCCAGTCTCCCTTGCCTGGCCTCTGCAGAACAGCTTCTGCTGTGAGGAGGGCTCTCCAGTGGCCTGGCCAATGGCAGGCTTTCCAGGAGGAAGTCCCACCCACCCCAAGAATAGGGGGACATCCGGACCCTCCAAAACTCACCACTCTGTGTGCCTAGGTAACCTTATACAGTGGTACCTCGGGTTACAGATGCTTCAGGTTACAGACGCTTCAGGTTACAGACTCTGCTAACCCAGAAATAGTACCTCGGGTTAAGAACTTTGCTTCAGGATGAGAACAGAAATCGCGCAGCAGTGGCAGCGGGAGGCCCCATTAGCTAAAGTGGTGCTTCAGGTTAAGAACAGTTTCAGCTTAAGAACAGACCTCCAGAACGAATGAAGTTCTTAACCCGAGGTACCACTGTACAGCATTCCTGCAACTCCCAGGGTACTGGGACTCTCCGACCCGACTTTCTGCCAGGATTACCATTATCCACTGGCTGTTTTTAAACCAGAGCAGCAAGAGTAGTTAAGGCGGTGCCCTCTGGACACTGCTGGACTACAACTCCCATCAGCCCCTGCACTAGCATGTTCAGAGGTTATGGGAGGTGTAATCCAACAACTTTGGAGGCTGCAGGTTCCCCATCTCTGGCCTACCCTGACTGGCAGCTGCTCTCTGGGAACTCTTTCCCGGCCCTGCCATTGCTCAATCTGGATCAGTGTTCTCTATGCTGACGGGCAGCAGCTCTCTAGGGATTCAGGCGGAGGACATCCCTAGCCCTGCCTGGAGAGGCCGACTGGGGATTCAACATGGGACCTTCCGCATGCCTAGCAGATGCTCTTCCACTGAGCCAAGGCCCGCCCACCCACGGGATGCTTCTTCAGCTTAACGTGCAACTGCTCCTGGCCTATAGGCTTCATCATATGGCAGCTAATCAATTTATTAAATAGCAATACAGATCTTCCGATTTGGGATGGGGGGGGAACCAGACATCGCAGAGGGTTAAAGTGCCTACCCGGCAAAGGTCCTCGGCGGTGACAGAAAGCGAAGCGCTCTTTCGAGAGGCCAGGCCACAGTCCTTTAGCACCTCATTTGCTGGGAATTGAATGCCTCTGCCTAATAATAAATTATAACTCCACGTGAAACGCAAGAAAATAAAAAAAATGGAGAGTGGGGGGAAATCAGCATGCAAAGAATTAATGGCGTCCCTGGAATGGCTTGGCCAGCTTACAGAATATAAAAGTGAATAAATCAGCTAACAGCAATAGGAGCTGTCGGGGCCCCGTGAAGATAATGGCAATTAAATGTCTATTCCATAAAGACAAGAACATCAGTCTTTACAGGGCGGGCAAAAAAAAAATCCCCAGTAAATCATTTGCTTTGTAAGGGTGCCTAATAATTCACTTATTTTGAAGTTTTGAAAAGTTACAACATTTAGGGCTTTTTAGTTTTAGGAAAGAAAGGAGAACGAAGGGGGACGTGATAAGAGGTGCATAAGATTATACATGGCTGGGGGGAGAAAGTGGCCAGGGAGTGGCTTGGAGCCCCTGTGTAAAGCAACTGCACCGCCTGCTAGCAGCTGGAGAAACAGCAGCATAAAAAGGCGCTTCAATAAACTTCAGCGTGGTGCAATTAGCACACACGTTGCCCAGAGAAAACTCCTGAAGGAGTTCTGCCGCTGAAGCTAACTAGGTCCTGCCACTTAAAAGCTGCCTGGATTGAAAACCACAGGTAAGATGGCTTGCAGTCTCTGGAAGAAGCAGACAGGTTTATAAGTGTAACAGATATAAATCTAGGACATCCAGTTTTAAGTTCTGTCAAAAGTTTAGACAAAAGCAAGGCCATTTGCTTGAAATTAGGTGGGGGGAAATCCGGGGGGGGGGGACTCATAGAAAGTAAAGGCAATTGTGGGGAAGGGCCCCCCAAAATTCTTCAAAAAGTATTTGTTAGCTCTGCTATTTGGGTGGGTGGGAGAGAGAGAGGGGGGGGTCAGCTGTCATTTCCCTTCGTCTCCTTCACTCCAAAATAGCACTGTAAGCATCAGAGCTAATATTTGGTTTAAAAAGCAGGGGTCACCAACAGCATCTCTACAAAACATTTGGAATAATTTGGACATGCACATAAGCCTCTGAAAAATTGCTGAAATATCCCACCCCACCTGCTCCAAATCAGTAGCTCTGAACGGGATGGTTAACTGCAGGGAAGGAGCCTTTTTGCCCAGCCCTACCGTCTGTCCTTTGGCTCTCGGGTACCACAAATCTTTTCAAGGCAACTTCCGGGGGATTTCCTTCGCTGTGGTCACAGGGCAAACAGTGGTCTCCGATTCCGCTGTCAGCCCGCAGCCTCCCCTCCTCGGAGTTCCACTGGTGGAACCGGAGTCTCTCCTTGCTGCTGGTGCTCCAGAAGGCATCCTTGATGCTCTCCCCATCGCTCTCCGATGTCCATTCACCAAGACGATACTGGGGCGGAAGGCCAAGCTGCCCGGAAGCCGCTTGCCTGGCCATCTGTTTCACTTCCGCTGGGGAGGACAAGGCGGGGGGAGCCCACTGTGATTTGCTTTTTCCATTTTCAGAAGGACTTTGTAGGAGGAGATAAGGGGAACTGTAGAGCATACGTTTGGCACACACCGGTGCCCTAGGCTCAAATGATCAGCAAGATGGGGCAGGCTCTTGTCTCCAAGATAAAAGATGCTTGTGTCTTTTGACAGGGACACGGGTGGCGCTGTGGGTAAAAGCCTCAGCGCCTAGGGCTTGCCGATCGAAAGGTCGGCGGTTCAAATCCCCGCAGCGGGGTGCGCTCCCGTTGTTCGGTCCCAGCGCCTGCCAACCTAGCAGTTCGAAAGCACCCCCGCGTGCAAGTAGATAAATAGGGACCGCTTACTAGTGGGAAGGTAAACGGCGTTTCTGTGTGCAGCTCTGGCTCGCCAGAGCAGCGATGTCACGCTGGCCACGTGACCCGGAAGTGTCTCCGGACAGCGCTGGCCCCCAGCCTATAGAGTGAGATGAGCGCACAACCCTGGAGTCTGTCAAGACTGGCCCGTACGGGCAGGGGTACCTTGCCTTGTGTCTTTTGACGTGTCTTGGAATGGGGGTGGTGGGTTGGCTGGGAGAAGGGGGGCGAGTTGGGGAATCTCAGCCTCATTTGCAGGGAGAGGAGATAGTCTTCAACGCTCTTGCTTTAAAATGAACTGCTAATGGTTGAAACGTCAAGGTCATGTAAACTGTTTATACAACAGTTAAGTCAAAAAATAAAAATGTCTATAAATTTTGCTAAATAAATTGCAGCGTTATTATGTTTTAAAGCTATTGTGCTATGAATTATTTTTAATGGTCTGCTTTCCACGAACAGCTTTCAGCACACAATGTACTTGCAGAAAGTGCAGATTGACAAATGAACCAGATTATGACTATGACTAGATATGCCCCGTGGAGAGTGATTTAAAGTGCTCTTCCTACTCTTGGTTTCTCTCCTGCTGATGTGTTCCTCCCACTGAGGCTTACTACCGGCTCAGGAGGAGAGAAAAGGATATTGTGTCCCTAAGTGCAGCAAGCAGGAGAGCACTGCTTCGAATTATGGGGGAGAGGAAGGGATGCTCTTAATATCCAGGGGTGAAGGAAGCTCTCCCCCCACCCACCCCCGCCAGAGTTATGTTCTGGTTCTTGGCTTTATTATCCCGTTCTTTGTTTGATGCTGCCATCCAGTGGCCAATGCGACAACAGAAAAGGAAAGAGATCTCATCAGGACTCTTTGACATGCATTCATACCTCCAAAGTCACCCAGAGTGGTGGTTTCTGGCAAGTACCACCTCACCTTCTGATTGTAAAATGCATTTGGGGACATAACTAGACATTAACTACATTGGTCCTTGGATGGGTGTGGGCATGCTGTAAGCACCCAGAAAGCGGGCCTTCAGCCTTGTTCCTCCAAGCTAGACTCTGGCACTTGCACTAAGCCAGTGCTGAAGCAACTTATCCCTCTGCACTCAACAACAGAGTTGCTGTCCGTGGTCCTGAATCTATCGCTCCTGAATGTATCGTCTGTTACTGTCCATGGTCCTGGCCTCCATCCAGCCCAGGCAGCCTTGTGTCTGCCTCGCAACCACCTTGTCTGTCACCAAGAAGAGATTAAAGCCCAAAGATCACTGTTGATCCAAAGAGGATCCTAGGAAGCAGTCAGTCTGAAAAACACCACCACAGCAAGCAATGTTGCCCTTGGAATTCAAATCCCCTCTCACTAGGTGGTGCTGCAGGCAGTCACTGTTGCTCAGCCTCACCTACCCAACAGGGTTGCCCGCAATGCCATGACTGGGACAGGATACAGAATATATACTAATCCTGAAAGAACCTTTTCCAGCCTGGTGAATGCATTTCCTCGCAAACAACCTTCTGGAGGATCTGCAGGCCAGTGGTGAGTGGAGCCAGAAGCAAGAAGTGGGTGAAACAATGGACATGACTTTTACATTTGTACAGGATGCTACATACCAGCTACACAAAAGGTAGAGGATTTTACACACACACGCCTTTCCACCCTCTATTTCTTTTTATTTCAACAATTTATATACCGCTTAACTACAAAATCTCCATGTAGTGTACAGAAAAGTTTTTTTAAAAAATAGACCAAAACCATAAAATCAGACTTCAGTTGAAATGCCTGCTGGAATGAAAAAAATAATAATTCAGTAGGTGTTGGAAGTTCAACAGGGAAGGGTAAACATTTTCATTCTTCAAGAGGATGTATTCAAGCCAGGCAAAAGCACTTGCAGAGGACAGCAAAGGGATGTTGCCTGGGGAGAAGGACGTGGCCTGGAAACAGCCCCGAGAGCCAGGCTGAGTGGCACGGGGACCACATTCAACCCATGGGCTTGATGCTTCCCGCCATCCAGGAGACCTATGGATTGCATGACTCCAATGAAATAAAACACAATACTCACTTGTCCATTCAGACTGTGCCATCCTCCTCTCCTCCCTCCTCACACTATCGTCATAAATTTCAGGTGTTGATTTTGAGACGAACCTGCAAGAAACACATTGGAATATGGGTGGAGATCATCTTCTGAGGCCCTTCTTCGTGTGCCTCCTCCATGAGAGGTCCGGAGGGTGGCAACACGAAAACAGGGCTTTTTCTGTGGTGCCTCCCCATTTGTGGAATGCTCTCTCCAGGGAAACTCGCCTGGTGCCTTCATTAAACACCTTTAGGCTCCAGGGAAAAATGTTCAAGCCTCTGGTTGACTGATATTCAATGCCCTTTTAAAATGTGTTTTGGTGGAGTGAGGACAGGGGGGTTATTGAGTTGTTCTTGTTCTTATTTTTATTTTGATTATGTATTCTGTGTTTTTATATCATGATTTTATCCTGTGAGTATATTTATACCCTGCGAGTATAGGGTGGTATACAAATTTAAGTTTAATAATAATAATAATAATAATAACGTTCCTATATTATCACCAATTATTAAATTTATATCCCTCCTTGCCTTGTAACAGCAAAAAGGCGTCTTGGAAACACAAAGCCTGATTGCAAGCTGACTGTGAACAGATACAGACTCCATGGGTTCAAAATCAGCCTCCCAAAATATTACCTCTTCTCTCCCCCACCACACGCACTCGCTCTGTTTAACATATAGCCTGACAAAGAGTTCTCGTGATGCTTTTGTTGGGCTACTGAAGGTATCGCCCTAGCATGGATTTTTTGAGTTGAGCTGGGATAGTCAGGTAACACTTGGAAACTTCCATCGGTCCCAAATGAAGCAGCCGAATTACTGGCTGCGGTTCTGTTTAGATCTCACATAAGCACTGCTTTAGAGGAGCTGCGTCAGTCGCCAGTTCATTTCCAGGCCCGGATCAAGGTGCCCACGTCAGTGCTTAAAGCCTAAATGACTTACACCCCAAATATTTGAAAGCCTGCCTCTTTCCTTACAGAGCTTTTCAGATGTTAAGTTCAGCAGAGGGGGCTCTTGGTAATCTGGGGAGAGGGCTGGGAGAAGGCACTATTTGTGGCGGCTCCCAAGCTGTGGAACCCCTCCCCTCCCCACGGAGGCCTGCCTGGCACATTTCACTAAACAGATTCTGCCAAAGGCTGAGGCTTACCCAGGGCTTCCAACTCCTGAGGTGCATATTCTTAGGCATTCTTGTGATCGCATTTTGTTTCGAACGGTTTTTAACGTTGCATTTTAAATTGCTGAGACCCGCCCTGGGATCTTAGGGTGGGCAATATACTAAATTCATCACAGTCATCTACGGGATTGGAGGCAGTGTGGCTGGGGAGCAGCAGCACTCACCCATCTGAAAATCTGTTCCCATCATCCACTGCAGAGAGGTTCCCTCGCCACAACTGCGGGCTCATGTTCCTCTTCCTCCGGACGGTGACGCCTGGGTGCAAAAGCTGAAAAATCACTCCAGTCAATCATAACTGAGTGGGGACTCAGGCAGGCATTTATGAGTTATGCAGTTAACCAGGGGGCAAGGCAGGCTGTATATTTAGCGGCTGACTGCTTAATTTCCCAAACGTGAGGAAGGGGTGGGTATTTGCCAATAGCTTTTAATGAGAATGGAGAGTACGCCCTACAGTGGCCTGAGGGGGTGTGGCCTTGGGAACGTCCCAAGGGACAGACAGAGAGGCCTGGGTGGCCATATTCAGCTCCCGGGGCTGAGATCACAAAACCCTCCTCCTAACTCCATGGCCAATATCAGTGCCTAGCAAATGTCCTTCCAGCAAGTCACCATCTGCACCGATAGCTCAGTTGGTTAGAGTGTGGTGCTGATAACACCAAAGTTGCAGGTTCGATCCCCATATGGGACAGCTGCCTATGACAGAGCCGAATTACCAAATAGGCAGAGTAAGCACCGGCTTATAGGCCCCATGCCTTTTAGGGGCCTCAACAACGGATCAAAATCAATACTGTTTGTTTTGTGTAATGTAATTGGTTTTTAAAAATTGTTGGTTGGTAAAATAAAAAAGTGTATTGGGAGATAATTTGCAAGCCAGCCCCCCCATCCCCAATTTAGACTGTCTAGGGGCCTCCGCAGGGTTTAATCCAGCATTGCTGCAGGGGGTCAGACTGGAGGATCCTCAGGGTCCCTTCCAAGTCCACAGTTCTATGAATCTATGAACAAGGGAATCTGCCTTGTTACTAGCTTAGTACTGTCTACACCAGGGGTCAGCAAACTTTTCCAGCAGGGGGCCAGTCCACTGTCCCTCAGACCTTGTGGGGGGCTGGACTATATTGGGGGGGGGGAATGAATGAATTCCTATGCCCCACAAATAACCCAGAGATACATTTTACAGTGGTGCCTCGCAAGACGAAATTAATTCGTTCCGCGAGTTTTGTCGTCTTGCAATTTTTTTCGTCTTGCGAAGCACGGTGTCGGGAAAGTTTTGGAAAACCTTCAAAAATCACCAAAGTCTTTAAAAACCTCAAAAAAGGCTACCACACTATGAGTTGCTCCTCGAAGTCAAGTCGCAACTGTATTAACGGTGTTAAGAAAAAGGAAACAAACTTGCAAGACGTTTCCGTCTTGCAAAGCAAGCCCATAGGGAAAATCGTCTTGCAAAGCAGCTCAAAAAACAAAAAACCCTTTCGTCTAGCGAGTTTTTTGTCTTGCGAGGCATTCGTCTTGTGAGGTACCTCTGTAAATAAAAGCACACATTCTACTCATGTAAAAACACCAGGCAGGCCCCACAAATAACCCAGAGATGCAGGTTAAATAAAAGGACACATTCTACTAACGTAAAAACATGCTGATTCCCGGACCGTCCGCAGGTCGGATTTAGAAGGCGATTGGGCCGGATTTGGCCCCCGGGCCTTAGTTTGCCTACCCATGGTCTACACTGACTCTCCAGGCAGGAGGCCCAACTGAGGACACCTGAGATTGCTCCTGGAACCCCCTGCATGCAAAGCAGATGCTTTATCACTTTAGTAGAGTAAGATTCTAGCCCTCATGGCTCTGAATAACGGGTTAAAAAAAGAACACAGGAAGCTGCCTTATACAGAGTCAGACCACCTAGCTCAGTGCTGCCTGCCCTGACTGGCAGCAGCTCTTCAGGATTTCAGACGTCTTTCCGCAGCCCTACCAGGAGAAGTTAGGGATTGAAGCTGGGACCTTCTGCATGCAAGACAACTGCTCTACCCCCCAGCTACAGCCCCTCCCTTTACCGCTCTCTCACACCTGATAGTTGGGCTCCACTTCCCCTCTGCTCCAGGGGTTTTTGGGCGCCTCCAATCCGCAGTCGCTCCAGCAGGTGGTGTCCTGGCTCCTGCGCTCTGGCTCCATGGGCTGGAAGGGCTGAATCACCAGAGGCCGCTGCATGGCCATGACACGCAGTGGTGGAGGGACGTAGTTCACAGACGGAGGGCCCACCGCTTTCCAGAGGAAGGCGCTGGGTCTGCTGCAGGGCGCCCTGAGGTTTCCAAAAGCGGCGCCCTCGTCCTTCTCCCAGTATTCTCGGACGATGGGGTTCAGGGCAATGGCGCATGGCTGGGGCTGGGGCTGGGGCTGGGGCTTTCTGAAGCTCTCCAGCTGGTCCAGCTTCTTTTCCGTCCGGCAGAGAGAGTCCCTCGCCTGCTGCAGCAGCGTCTGGGAGATCTTCAGGTTCAGGACGCACTTCCCAAAGTAGTGGCCCCCCTTCCAGGGGGTGTTCCGGCCCCGGGGGCTGGAGAACCTCACCATTTGCTGCACAGGGTAGGCCTGCGACATGTAGGTGATCTCTTCCCTGGTGTATTCCGACTCCGAATCGAAGCTGGCACCCCCCTCGCTGCAGCTTGTCTGCCCGTCCTGAATTCTGGCTGGCAGGGGCGGCGAAAGGGCTTTGGCCCAATCCCCCGGGACAGTCCGAGGCTGCCTTGGGGATCCCTGGCCCGGTCCCGATGTTGTGTCCTCCTCCGTGCTGTCCCCACACATCTCAGGATAGCAGGTGTAGATCTCATTGATTTCAAAGCTGCAGAGGCTCTCGTTCCTGTCGCTGGTGCCCCCCTGGACTTTGGGAGCCAAGAGGTGGCCAGACTGAGCGGCGGGGAGGGCGGGCTGAGACTGGTGGCCAGCGGCACCTTCGATTCTGGGAGCAGAAGCAGCGCATCTCATCACGGTGAAGCTCCCGGCTGAAGAATCAAGAGCACGAGTCAGAATGGAGGGGCTCTGAACAAGCACAGGACAGTGTTTTCTCTCCTCAAACATACAGACTTCCAAAGGGCCTCTCAGGATCCTGTGGCGTATTTCTGCCCCGTGTGCATGACGCCTGGACGCAAAGCCCTGCTCTGCATCAGGGATGTGGAAGCTGCTGCTCTCCACCTCACAGCGCTCCTGGCTGCTAGCCATGTTGGCTGGGGCTGGTGGATAGCTCAGTCTGTAGAGCATGAGAATCTCAATCCCATGGGTTCAAGCCCCACAGTGGGCATAAAGACTCCTAGGGATGTCCAATCAGCAGATTGTGACCTAGCAGTAGATCCGTGGCTGATCCTGGTAGATCGTAGGATCCTTATCATGTGCAAAAAGTTATGGGGGGAAGGCTTAAAAATTCTGTGCAATCCTCGCCCAAAAAAGCTCAACAACTCTGGGCACTTCCCTCCTTAAAAAAGATCAATAACTCTGGGCAATCCACCCACCCCACGCACGCTCCTCCTCCCTCCAATGACAATGGGTAGATCACTGCCAGTGTTTCACTGGGAGTAGATCGCAGTCTCTTGGGAGTTGCACATGCCTGGACGAGATGACCCTCATGGTCCCTTCCAACTCTGAGCAGGGTCACTTCTATGAACATCATCTAGCAGGGCAGATGGTTGTTCCCCCATTCCTGGTATGTGTCTGGAGGGCCACAAACATACAGAAGAGACCAACCATAGCTCTGTATTACCTACACTGACGGGCAGCAGCTCTCCAGGATTTCAGGCCCAACTGGAGATGCAGCTGTGGACTGAGCCTGGGGCCTTCTGCATGCAAAGCAGGTGCCCTGCCACTTAGATGCAGCCCTTCCCGTTTGCCCCAGGAGGGAAACTGCCACCGGCAGCAAAGACACAAGAGGCCAGGCTTTGGCCCTTGCAGCAAAAGCAGAACTTACAAGGCAGACACGGGACACTCTGCTCCTCTTCTGGCTTCTCTTCTTCCTGCTCCTCTTCTGGCAACTCTTCTTCCACCTTGACCGAGACAGCAGAGGCAGACGGCAAGCAGATATTAATGTCAGCACGGGGTTCAGCCTTTGACGGTCCAGAACTGTCACCATGGCGGGTCCTACGAGACTCAAGCAAATCCTGCAGTGGCAAGGAGAATGGTGTTAGGGCACCATTCTCTCCCTGAAACCAAATTAAGTTGCCATTGTTGGCATCCGTCTGTCTCAAGAGACAGTGGAGTGTGCCTCCAGGGGTAGAGTCAAACCTTTGTGTTAGGAGCATTAAAGTGCATTCCCCAAGACACAAGCCTGGGGAGTGTGTATGGAGGTCCTAGCCTGCCCAGATGACAAGCCCGCCCCTCTCAGCCTCGCTGATGTGGTCCAAAGAAAAGCAGAGCAATACGTTTGGAACCACCTTGGCTGCAGGAGTTGCCGGAAGGAGGCGTACAAGGTATTATCCAACCATCTTAGCAACTCAACTCCTGATTTGTGTGGGTTTTACCCCTTAGCCTTATCTTCTCCCGAAATATCCTGCAAGGCAGCTGAGCTATAGGGTCAAAGTTTTCTCCCAGATGAGCTACCACTTTTCAAGTGATCCATTGGTGGGGGGAGTTTGAGCACAGGCACTACGGAGTTGAGAAGCAGCCTTACAAAAATAATGTTTACAAAACACACTGGCGGTCAGTTTTTAGCTAGCTAGCCAGCCAGCCAGCCACAGCTGGGTGCCCAGAGGTGGTTCAAATTTGCCAGAGGTGACCAGCAGTAAAGTTGTTTGCAAGCCCAGATTTGGGAGGCTCAATTGCTCTGGTTCACCTTCAGGTCATTCTTCAGGATGTATCGGATATCCTGCAGGTTCATGGTGCGTTGCTTCTGCCTGGACTCCAGCCCGGTCTTCACGATGTCGTAATAGGGCTTGGGCAGCCTGGCATCCGCTTCCAGCCACTGCCCCGAAACTATGAGATCCTTAACGTCCGGGCCCTCGAACCCATCCCAGGGGATGGTATCTGGAAGACACACAGACCACATGCATGCTCTGATGTGGTGAAGGGGAGGGGCCTGCCTTATGGCAGAGGGCACGTCAAGAAATACACAATTAAAATTAAAACAGAATCAGAATTGTAGAATGGGAAGGGACCTTCAGGATCATCTAGTAGTAGTAGAATTTCGGCAAGAGCCTTGAAGGGGAGGCTGGGGCCAATCAGCTTGATGAAGACGGGAGGAGAGACTATTCCAAACAAGGTGCAGCAGCCAAGAAATGGGAATGGGGCAGGTCGAGAGCTTCAAAAAGCGAACACACAAACTACAGTTGTAAAAGGGCAGCCAAAATGATCACGGGTGGAGCATTTGGGACTTCTCACTTTAGAGTAAGAGGCGACACAACAGAAGTTGATAAAATTCTGCAAGGCATGGAGGATGCGAATAGAGAGGAGGTTTTCTCCCTCTCATAACGCCAGAGCTTGTGTTCATCCAATGAATGTTGGAAGATTCAGGACAAATAAAAGGAAGTCCTTCTAGCGGATTGTTAAAACTATGGAACTCACTTCCGCAAGAGGCAGTTACAGCCCCCAACTTGGATGGCTTTAAAAGACTGGACAAATTCAGGGGAGGATAAAGCTATCAATGGCTAGTAGCCACAATGGCTCGGCTCTGCCTCCAGGGTCAGATGCAGGGATGCTTCTCAATAGCAGATGCTGGGAACCACAGGAGGGGAGAGCGCTCTTGTGCTTGGGTCTTGCCTGCGAATTTCACACAGGTATCTGTCTGGCCGCTGTGGGAACAGGATGCTGGACTAGATGAGCCATTGGCACGATCCAGCAGGTTCTTACCTTTGTGAGGCTTCGCATCCCTCCCTCCATTTCTGTACCTGTTAGAGCCTCCTGCATCACTGCGCAGAAGCTGTAGATGTCAGACTTGGTGGTCGCAGTCCTCTGGAGGATTACTTCTGGAGCGCACCATTTGTACAACTGGGAAGGGATGGGCAGCCGCGTCAGGTCGCTGTGCTCTCCCCCATCCTTGCTGCCAAAGACAGGAAACCAAGAGGCCCTCAGAACATGTGGCAAGGGGGAGAACATACATCCCAGAGATGCTCAGCATTATTTTAAAGCTGGATAACACGTGAAGGGTGGCGCTGTGGGTTAAACCACAGAGCCTAGGACTTGCCGATCAGAAGGTCTACGGCGTGTAGACTATTAACAACGAAACTGCAAAAGGGAAGATATATCAAGAAGCCCGTAACCGGGAGGGAGGGAGGTCTATATGTGTACATATGGGTGATATCAACAAGATGATGTAAGTAAAGGATTGTAATGGAAATTTATATTATTTTACTTTGTTTATTTATGTTTGTTTTTGATTATGGTTGGTCTAATTAAAATCAATAAAAAAGAAATGGGGGGGGGAAGAAGGTTGGCGGTTCGAATCACCGCGATGGGGTGAGCTCCCGTTGCTCGGTCCCAGCTCCTGCCAACCTAGAAGATCAAAAGCACGTCAAAGTGCAAGTAGATAAATAGGTACCGATCCGGCGGGAAGGTAAGCGACATTTCCGTGTGCTGCTCTGGTTCACCAGAAGCGGCTTAGTCCTGCTGGCCACATGACCCGGAAGCTGTACGCTGGCTCCCTCAGCCAATAAAGCGAGATGAGCGCCGCAACCCCAGAGTCAGCCACGACTGGACCTAATGGTCAGGGGTCCCTTTACCTTTAACACGTGAAAATGGGTTGTGGTGGGGAGACAGTAGCTGCAAGAGAACTCTCAAAGACCCACTTGTTTATGTGGGACATTATTGCAGTCAATCAACACTTATGCTTTGCCAAATGGGCACATGAAAGGGCTGAGGCTCACAGAGCTTTCCTGTAAAATTTGCTAGAGAGAACTCAGTGAAATCATTTCCTTTGTCTGCCTTGGCAGGAAGCTTGTAACACTACATACTTCCTTCGTGCCTGGGTGGCCTCCTTTTCTCATCATGCTTCCAAGCTGACCACGCATGCACGTCCGACCTCTGCAGCCCAGACACCATTTCCAAACTTACATTTTGTACTTTTGCTAGTTGCTCAAGTAATATGGGGAGAACGGGGGAAAGTAGGGTGCCTTTACCTCTCGATCATGTACTCCAGGTTGGTAAGCTTGGCTTCCCCGGCCAAAACCACCACCACAGCATAGGAGCTGACCGTGCGGTGGATGAAGCCATGCGAGTGCAGGAACCTCAGGCCATCATTCACCTGGAGCAAGAGGTGCACGAGGGTCTCCATGTGCACAATGGGGAACTCCGAACGCTGCCGAGGGAAAGAGGAAAGAAACCAGCTCTTAGCTGGAGCGTTTGCTCTTCCCGGGTGGAAGGAGGAACCTCCAGGAAGACAGGATTTAAAACAGAGCATGTACCCTCCCACACCATACAATTAAAGCAGTCAACATATGACGTGGGTGTTAGCTTACTGTCTGGTAATCATTCTGCTTTAGAACTGTTTGAGATCAGAGGAGATGATCACAGCCCAGTTCACACGTAATGCCAAGCCATGGTTTATTCAACGATGGTTCATTAAACCATGGTTTCTCCAACTGTCCAAACCCTGCCCAGCAGCTTAACCTGAAGTCATGATTTGCTGTCTTTGGCTTGTTTGAACTGTGGCTCAGCACTATGTGCAAAGCCAGCACCCCTTTTACTCCGTCTAACCTACCACATGACGCAGGACAAAATGGATCAATCCCTCTTAGCCATGAAGCTTGCCAGGTGGCTCTCTTAGCTATGAAGTTCAATGACTTAGTCACACTCTCTCAGTGTAACCTACTTCACGGGGTTGTTATGAGGATAAAGTTTGGCAGGGGCCAGAAGAACCTGATTTGTCACTCTGAGCTCCTTGGGAGGAAAGCACTGGGGGCGGGTAGAACAAATATATTAATTCTGCCAAGAAACAAAAACGGTCACTTTACCCTCTCATGAAGGATGCTATAAAGGGAGCCAAAAGTAACCCTCTCAAACACTAATCGCGTTTTCTCCAAGTCGCTGGATAAACAGACGGCCATCAGCTGCAACAAATGAGGATGGCGGAGCTGGCTGCAGAAGGAGATATGAAAACCCAACAGTGTGAAGGGAAATTGGATTACGAAGGAAGTGCATTTCCAGGCTTACTGATCTTATCCCGTCAGAACAGCTCACTCTGCCTTTCCTAACCAACTTAAAGCGCCAGAACCAACAAAAAAGCAACAACAGAACATGCTGGGGGCAAAGGCCAAAAGAAGGTGGAAGCTAACATGGATCAGGCCATCAACATGGCACCAGAAAACACAACTGATCTTTCAAGGGATGCTCTGCTGGGTATTGCTGCGTGCAACCCATCGCCGAGTGCTGAGAGGCTCCGGGGGTGCCTGCACTTATCCGTATTTCCGTTTCCTTGGAATGATGGTTAACAAAAGACTGTGGTGTCTTTAAGACGTGTGGTTTTATTTACACATACATATAATCAGAGGATAAGATGGAAGGTCTCACAGCACTGACACCTGAAAGATCTCGCCTCCCCATCAGGTTTTCCAGGGAAGCCCCAAGCCACCACTTTGGATCCAGCACAGAGCAATGGATGCCTCTGTCTCTCCAGCATCAGCCAAAGCTCACTCACAAAACTCTGGCTATTGTTCTTCTATACAGGGGTCAGCAAACTTTTTCAGCAGGAGGCCCGGTCCACTGTCCCTCAGACCTTGTGGGGGGCCGGACTGTATTGGGGAGGGAATGAACGAATTCCCACGCCCCACAAATAACCCAGAGATACATTTTACATAAAAGGACACATTCTACTCATGTAAAAACACGCTGATTCCCAGACCGTCTGTGGGCCGGATTTAGAAGGCAAATAGGCCGGATCCAGCCCCCGGGCCTTAAGTTTGCCTACCCACGTTCTACAGTGGTGCCTCGCAAGACGAAATTAATCCGTTCCGTGAGTCTTTTCGTCTTGCGTTTTTTTCGTCTTGCGAAGCACGGCCATTAGCGGCTTAGCAGCTATTAACGGCTTAGCGGCTATTAACGGCTAAGCGACTTTAAGAAAAAGGAAACAAACTCACAAAAACTCGCAAGACATTTCGTCTTGCGAAGCAAGCCCATAGAGAAATTCGTCTTGTGGAACAACTCAAAAAATGGAAAACCCTTTCGTCTAGCGAGTTTTTCGTCTTGCGGGGCACCACTGTATAAGGTGAAGTCTGCTTCCACTAGGTGGTGGGGGGTTACACACACACCCGTTTGTCTCTATGGCAACAAGGCAGCCCCCTTTTAATGTAAATGGCAGGACTGAACTGGCAGGCCAAGGCCACTCACCTTAGCGAAGGAACTGATCTGGCTGGTTTCTCCTAATAGATTCTACCCTCCCCGACACAGAATCACAGCTTTGAAAGGGACTCATGGGTTTCATCCAGACTGACCTCCCCCCACAAAAAACCCTATAACACTGTAATCACCCAAGAGACTGAGGAGGAAGAGAGAAACAAGTAGATTATTTTCCCCAAGGCAAATGGCCACAATACAGACCCCCTCTTTATTGCTCAGGGACAGACCAAAACAAGGTTACCAGAACAGCTCTAGGGCTTTTCCTTCTTCCTGCTCAGCACCCAAATTGCATGGGCACCTTTTACGTATTTGCAAGCAGCGCAAGTCGCAGCCGTACCTACTGTACTCCTGTTCCGCGAGAAGCAGGTCGGAGAGGCGCAGCTTGCTGCAGTGCTGGTGGGGTTTCATGTTCAGCTCCTTCACTGTGACTCTGCTTCCACCCCACATCAAACTGCAAGACCGGGGAAGGGAGGGGAGAGAGGCCAGGTGTGACTTTCTGGACTTTTTCTTTGGCAGTATTGCAGTTTTCAATACTCTGTTGAATGCATACTCTGTCACAGGAGGTGGACAGAAGGGTAGCTCTCAAAGGAAGATCGCCAGTGGTGGTGTAGCAGGAGGCACTGTGCAAGTGGGAGGCCAGGGTTCAAATCCAGGCAGGTCAAATGCTGACATGTGTTTTCATCTGGTTTTTAGTTTACTTTTTATTTTAGTTATTTTTAATGCCTTATTTAAGTGGTGATGGTATTGTTGTTTTATTCTTTTTGTAAACCACTTTTGAGACTGGGGGAACCAAAAGCAAGCACCCTTCCAGTTTTTGGTACTCAAAAAAGAAAATTCCACAGCTCATAATTCTTTAAATCTAAGTGTGTGTCTTTTTGCAATAGGCTCCGACTGGTGAATCCTGGGGATTCTACTCCAAATAATAATAATAATAATAATAATAATAATAATAATAATAATAATAATTTATTATTTGTACCCCAGCCACTCAGGGCAGCTTCCAACAAGAATTAAAAAAACATCAAAATGTCACACATTAAAACTTCCCTGAACAGAGCTGCCTTCAGATGTCTTCTAAATGTTAGGTAGCTGTTTATCTCTTTGACAACACAAGTCTAAATGGGCAAAAGAAAGCACCACTGATATGAAACTGCACTGTTAAACCTATTCTTAATAACGTTTATGTGATTTTGACTGCAGTTTCTCGTCTGGATGTGTATTGCTTTGGGACTTCATCTTGGGTCAGAAGCGATGTATACGTTGAACAAGCCTACGCCTAGCCTAGGGTTAAGAAGCCCAACTCCCCCTTGCAAAAGCATCAACCCACTTGGTCATAGTCATGTACGGCCCAACTGGAAAGGAGAAGGTTGGTTCATCATCAGCCTGGACCACTTCCTTATCCGCAATGATGGGGAGCGATGCCAGGTAGCCCAACTGACGGCTGCTTGTGAGGTAAACCTGACATGAGAAATAATAATTGTAACAATTGCTCTTTGTTTTCATTTTTCATTTTTCTCCACAACATTCATAATTCTGCAAATCTCTTCCTTATGTTCACTTTTGTAAACCAAGAAAATGAAGAAGAAGCCTTTTTCTTACAAAGATGCTTTGTAAAGAAAGCGTAGCTATTCCCTGCCCTTAACAGTATTATAAATACCTGTCCTTGTGATGATTTCACCTTCTCTATTGACAGTGAATTTTTATTGGATAATGCTATGTTCTATTGTCACGTAAACCACTTTGGTGTTTCTTTTTCATAAAAGCAGTGCAGAAATGTTTTCTTACATTTAAAAGACACCCACCCACCAATCCTTTTGCTATTGCACAAGGACACACGTTTTCCAATCAAGGTCCACATTCTCTTCCAGGAAACCTCCTTGGGGCCAGTCAGGCTCAAGGCAAAAAGGTGCAGAGCAACAAATGTTGAAATTTACCTTGACTAGTTTGTACACAGATTCAAGCACCCATATCCATTCTCAATTAAGGCAAGTGAGAGACATTTCAAGGGTTCCAGGACATATCTCAGTGTCAGGAGCACATCAGCCATAAAGCACATAGTGTTAAGTTAACACTTTATTAGAAGACGCTGCTCAGTAGTGCCAGGCCTAGTGAGCACTGCAACTCTTCCTCGTTGGTCTGGCCCTAAGGAGGCAGTTGCGAGGACTGAAGGTCCCTGCCTTCCCACAGCTCCCTAAGTCTACTCCTCTGCCTGGTCCTTCCCAAGTAATCTGAGATGAAGAAGTCTTGCCTGTCTTTGATCTGCCCTCTCCCTACCTCTTCTGGTCCTGGGAGACCAGGGGGCAGGGGAGCTGGTCACAGCAGGAGGGGGAGACCCCCTGGCTTCTTCAGAAGCCTGCCTCCACCCTGCCCCCCTCCTCTCCATCCTCTGCTTCTGCTTCTAATTCTGGACTTCTCTCTGCCACAGGCTCTCGTGGCTCACTAACCCTGTTACCTCTTCAGCTTCCGACATCTCCTCCCAGTCTGCTTCCTCTTCTCCCTTTCTGACCACTTGTCGTCCCAGGCTTAGAGCCTTTGTCCCAGCCCTGACACTCAGCCAGGCAAAAGCACCTGAAGAAGGCACAGAGCAGGACAGACTAGAGGGCAGGAGAATATCAAGGGCCAAAGAGAGAGACCTGGAGGGCTGCATTTGGCCCCTGGGCTCAAGGCTTTCCACTGGCCAGATTCTGCTCTTTCACCACCAGAAGCCACACCCTGCGCTAAAGACTTGCATAACAGGGATATGCTTTTTGAATTGCCAACAAAAAAATCACCAGCTGTTCCCAATTCATTCTTCTAGATACAACCTTGGCTCAAGGGGAACAGGGAGATCCTGTTGCGTCCTGGACCCTTCCACCATATTTACCTTCCCAAAGCCAAAGCTGTAAATGTTTTGGGGGGCACTGCTCCCACGTCTCAGAATCTTGTCAGCCGTCCTGAAAGACAAAAAAAAACAAAAGAAGGGGGAAAGGGGTGTCTCTTGAAGTAGCTGAGGCGGAGAGGCAGCAACTGACCCAAAGTCACCCAGTGAGCTTCATGGCTGAGCTGGAATTTGAACCCTGGTCTTCCAGGTCCTTGTCCAACACTCTAACCACTGTACCACACTAGCTCTCATATAACCATAAGATCAAAGAATTGTACACTTGGAAGGGACCAAAAGGGTCATCCAGTCCAAACCCCTGCAATGCAGAAATTTTTTGCCCAATGAGGGGCTCAAACCCATAACCATGAGATTCAGAGTCTCTAGACACTTCCTACAAAGCATCTGAAAGGAATTTCACAACACAATAAAAAGACTGCATGTACTGGGCACAATTTCAAAGCCAGCACAGATACAAATGGAGATTTGGTGCTAATACCCAATGACAGATTTCGGATTTTATTTGCTTCTGATCTGGGCTTCCTTTTTGCTTTTATGTGTGCAGTTCTGCTTTTCCACCACATGAGGGAGAAAGAATGATGTCGCAGCCATTCTCTGCGGAGGAACCAAGGGCACTTCCCAAGTGTTTACAAGCCTCTATTAAAAATAGACGTTTGGTGTGCGGGGAAAGGAAGAGAAGAGGGAGAAACGATTTCGCTCCCCACCATCACTGTCACAGCTGGAGGCTCTCACCCTTGCTTGATGCCCACAAACTTGGAGGGGCTAGAGACCAAAGCTCTGGGAGAGTCCACCTTCCGTAGCAAGTCTATGGAGTAGTTCTGCACAATCGCCTGCATGTGGGATGTACATCGCTGGATGAACTCGAGCATCTGCAAAACAGAAGAGGAGGAGAAGCCGCCGGGGATGGTTGGTGGCAGCAAAGACTCCCAAGTTTGAGTGCACACCTTGAAAACAACTAGGGATGGAAGGGAGAAAATGCCTTATAGAACTGAAGAGTTGGAAGGGATCCTGAGGATCATCTAGTCCAGCGGTTCTCAACCTGTGGGTCCCTAGATGTTGTTGGACTACAACTCCCATCATCCCTGAGCTCTGGCCTTGCAGGCTGGGGTGATGGGAGTTGTAGTTCAACAACATCTGGGGACCCACAGGTTGAGTAAGGCTGGTCTAGTCCAAGCCCCTGCAATGCAGATGTCCATTATGGTGATTGAACCTGCAACCTTGGCGTTATCAGCACTTGCTCTAACCAACTGAGCTATCCAATGGTGCCAAACATCAGTCTGGGCAGACTTGCAGTGGCTCTCCATGATTTTAGATGTGATCTCTCCCAGTCCTACCTGGAGATGCCAAGGATTAAACATGAGACCTTCTGACTGATAAGCAGGTGCTTTATTCCACTGAGCCATGACCCTTGTCATAGAAACAAATAAACAGTTCTGGATAAAAGCATTTGGGCTGGGGGGTGTTGCAAGGTCAGGGATGGGGAGCCTGAAGTCGTGTAAACGTTGCTGGGACTCCAATTCCTACCATCCCCTGCAACCTACAGGGCCAACAGTTGGGGATGCTGAGAACTAGAGCCCAGCAATAACTGATGGGGGGCCCCACAGGCACCCCCATACATGAGCAAAAAAAGCAACACTGCCTGCTGGAAATGGAAAGCTGACTCTGCTTGGAAGAGGCATTTGTGGAGCTTTGTGTACACAGGTGCAAGCTTCTGGGGTAAGCAAGAGGAGAAAGGCCCTAGCCGCCCACACACCTGAGCGCTGCTCTCTTTCCCAGCTGTCACAGCCCAGCTCTGTGGGTTCCTCCCGTTCCTGTCATGGACTCGCAGGTCTCCACCCGCATCCAGCAGTTTGCTGAGAATTGACTGGTTGCCTGAGAAAGCTGCGGCATGGACCGGAGTGCTCCCATCGTGACAGCGGCTGAGAAAACAAGGAACACAAAAGCACTTGGAAGTCCTGATCGGAGGGCCCCCAAAGACCTTAATAAGCAATTCCTTGGACTAGGTAGACTCTGGGCTTAAAAACAAAATGCAGAAATTCTTACATCAAGGCTGATTAACATCTTACGTCCTTTTAAATGTGTTTCGGGGTAGGGGTAGGGGTATTGTTTCGCTTCATTTTTGTTCCTGTTTTTATCTCGCATTTTTATGCTGTGAACTGCCTTGTGATCTTCGGATGAAGGGTGGTATACAAATTTAATAAATAATAGCAACACTTGTGCCAAGGATACTCCAAATTCTGCGCAAATAAAAATAGGATTCTGCAAGCTGAGTGAGTTACACAAATGAAGTAAAATAGTATTGCAGGTTTTCCGGGACCTCACAGCTACTGTCAATGAGCTTGCACTCTCTATCTGGACCACAACTCCCATCAACTCTGACCACGGGTAATGCTGGTGGGGGCTGATGCGAGTTGTAGGCCAAAACTTCTGGAAGCGTGCCTGGCTAGGCAAGGCCATTCATTGCAAGGCATTTCCCACAGACTTTCCAGCTTAGTTTTGCAGCCCTGGGGTCTCAATGACTGTTTTTCAAAGGGAACGGGGGGGGGGGGGACCTATCATCAGAAAACACGCTTTTTTGCTTTTTCTCCATTTCTGCAGATCTACATGTAGAGGAAAACCCACACACCTCTGGATTTTTTTAAAACCCAGAAAATTGTCTCCCTATAACAACAAAAATGTAGCTTTTGTACTTACTGATTGGGATCCGAACCATAATCCAAAAGAACACTGACAACTTTCCCAATACCAAGCAAGGCAGCAGTGAATAGGGGAGTCTGCCCCAATGAGTTAATCGAGTCAGCACTGATTCCTACAAAAATAAGAATGGGGGGCGGGAAAAGAGAATTACTGCCATCCTCGTTCCACTTCCCCGGTGCGAATTTTCCCTAAGTGTGTGAGGTCCCACAAAAGCTGCCCTTCCCCATCTCCAACCCTCTGCAATGAATCAGCCAGAGGCACACCATTAAGGGCAGATCACAAATTAAGCTACAGTCATAGGAAAAAGAAAAAGCACCCTCCTTAATTTCTCTGATTTTACATATGAAGACATAATAACAATCATCTGTTCCTTGGCAGGTCTTAAAATGAGGTAAATACAACCTCAGATGAAGAACAATAGATGACATATTACACCTTGTCATGATTTATTTAACACCGGGCACCTTTCTCACATATCTTTAGACGCCATACAATAACATTCCTCTTCTCCGAGGCCTTTGGGTAATTAAAGAAGTTATGGTCTTTTAAACTGTGGGGGCAGTATTGTTTTCTTTGTTGATCTACTATGTTAACATGTTTGTTTGTTAATATTGTTTGTATTTTTACATCATAAACCTCCCTGTGATCTTCAGATGAAGGACAATATAGAAATTTAATAAATAATAATGCTAAGTCTAACAGGCTCATCTCTGAAAGGATTAATATTTGTTCAAAGCAGCCATCCTTCCATGGGCTTATTTCTAAAAATCTATGCACAGAATCAGGACATTTTCATTTCATACCCACTTGCAAAATCTGCTAGGTATATATATGCATGCCCATGACCATTTTGAAATTGTTTTTAACCAATAATTTGATTTGTTTATTACTTTTTGTAAACAGATTTGAGGTTATTATTTTAAAATCAAATTATGCAATAAATTATGCAGAAAAACTAATATGAATGGCTTTATTAGAATTTTAACCAGATTGCCACATGCACTAACCCAAACTTCTTCAGAAAGGGCAAAATAGGCATTTAACCAACAATGGAGAAATTGCAAGGTTAACCAATATTAGACAGATGTATCCTTGATACAAAATAATGCCAAACAAACATATAAAGCAAAAGGAAACAACACTCTATTAAGAAAAAAAACTTTAAAATATGAAACCTCTGTAAAAAGGACCAAATATTTAAGAGCTAATATTTAACCATTTAAAAAAAGGCGCAAACCACTCAGTCTGTGTTCTCTCCCTCCAACCTCCTTAATAAAAAGGAGGCGGAACGGTCATCAATAGCAGGCAGCAGCTGCAAAATGCAACACTGCCTGCTCGCTTCGCGCTCAGAAGAGAACACTTTGACTCCTCCTCGTGGTTTCCGAGGCCAATCACTTTCGAGTACACTTCTCTAGTTACAAACTATAGAAATGATCCCTGAAAGTATAGTCTTAACTAAACGCTTCTCGGCTCCAGAGCCTGGTTGCCTCGACCCACTCTCCATGTCACTGCGACCGATTTCTAACCCATCGAAAACATGCGCGACTTTTGATTCTTAAGACAGGAAACGAGCGAATTCAAGCCCCCTCGGGATAATTTAAAAGAAATGCTTTTATAAGTTGGTATTTGGCCAGGTATCGGCGGTGGACCAGAATCCCTCTCGCTTTCTATCTGCATACGGAACCCAAGCGGCCAATCACAGTCGGGCTTGAGTCTCCTCTAAACATGGCAGCCTACAGTTCGCTTACTGGCTCTTCAAACCCAGGCGGCTAGGAGGCGGGCCCTCACGACGTCACTCTCCCTGGCTCAGGCAGCTTAACTGTGTCACCGCCGGACAGTCCGCGGGGGTGGAGGGAGTCCTAGTCTTCGCCGCCCCAGCAAGCCCTGCTCTTGAGTAAAAACACGCAAATGATCGTGTTGCAAAGAGACTCCGCAGGGAAGCAACTGGTCCCTGACTCAACTTTCTCGTCAACTTTCTTAATGGAGAGATCCTATATACTACAAACTTACTTTCGAAGAAAGTCCTGCAGTCCTTATCAGGATAGCAATCTAGAGTCTTCAAATAAGTTCAGAATGGCGTAAATCGTTACAACAGCCCCTACCCTACAGGCAGAACAGCAATTTTACCCGCTCCACTCTGGTAAACTGGAGCGGCTCAGCGCAGCCACAGTTCCGTGGGAATCACCACTTATGGTTCAGGGCAATGTCTTGACACCCCCCCCCAAGACACTTAGACTAGCCCTGCTGGGTCAAATCAAAGGTCTATGTAGTCCAGCAGTTTTCCACCAGAAGCCAACCAGATTCAATATAGAAATAAAATGTCTTCTGGACCACCTTACTGTTGTATGGAGTGCCACTGCTCTTGAGTAAATTTTTTTTAAGTGCACTATCAATGCTAGGACTGAGGTACTATGCACATTTAATCTGGGAATAAATTCAAGTAAACCAAAGGGGATTTATTTCTAAATTATCACACGCGTCAAATGAATAGCCTAAGCACACATGATCTCATTGCACTGCTACTATCCAGCTGTATGCTTGACCTGTTACTAACATCCACTGACTTTTAATGTGACTTCAAACTTCAAAAAGGAAGTAATTCTACATTACTGTACTAATTTCTAAAAAAAGAAAAAAAGAAATGCAGATTGTGTTACATACAAAACCACCTATTTAAGTAGGAACACCTGTTCCCTGTGTTGAAGCCACTTCCACCTTGCCTAGGAAGGTGAGACCCTACTGCAGCTACGAAAGCTGAGGTTGCTGAACAGACTTTTGGGCTGGGGTGTTTTGTTGTTGGAAGGAGATCTGGTGCTGTTGGTTTTTTATGTATTTTTGTTTAAGGTTTTTTGTGATATATGTGAAAATTGTTCAGTTTGGATGTGTATTTTAAAAAAAATGTTTTATCATTTATAACTACTTTTGTTATGTTGTAGTTATGTTCCTTTTTCACCTAAGACACCTTGAGCATGATTTGAAGTGTGGAAAGGCAGCATACAAATTATGTATATTTGTACGTGTGTAAAATCTATTTTTAAAACATTTTCGAAGCAAATAAGCAGTCTCTGCTTTGCCCTTTTAGCCTCTGAACAAGTAAGGAGAATGGGTCATTGAAAGCAGGGAACAGCAGCTGTATAAACACAACACCACCCACTTGCTTCACACTCAGAAAGGAACAGTTTGATTCCTTGTGCTTAACAAGACCCGGCTACATTTGATTACGGTTCCTACATGTGAACACAGTTATCTGCAAGAATAGCATGGGAGTGCGGGAGAACACTGCTTCCCACACACCCAGCCCAGATGGGGCACATTGATTTTGTAATATAGGGTGGCAGTTTCACTAAACAGATCTTTCTTCAACAAACTGTATATTGGAAGGCCTCAAATTAAGGGTATTCCTGGGTACTTAAGAAGACTCGGGACTGCCTTAGCTGACCTGATGGGTTCTGGATACTTTAGACCAGAGGTGTTCAACCTTTTTGAGTCCACAGCTCCCTGGACCAACTACCTTCTTTCTGTGGCAACCCTGCGGAGCTCAGGAGCCCAGTTATGTCACCCCTGGCTTGCAGAGCTGGCAGCCTCTCATCCTTTTTGAACACCCCCATTTTGTGGAGTGTTCCCTCAGCCTCCTGTCCTCTCCCCTCTCCTTGGGAGTCCTCCGTGCAGCTGCTGCCGCCACCGCCCCTTATCGTTGAGCTGCCCCCCCCGCCACCCCAAAAAGAGGTGAATCCCAGGGGCACACTTTGCCTGTGGAGCTTATAGTCAGGGCTGCTGCAATAAACAGCTGTGCAAGCCTTTAGGAGGCAGAGATGCCAAAGGACATCAGAGGAGGGAGGAGAAAGAGGGACAGAGGCCAGTGTTGCCTGCAGCACCCCTGACCATCATTCAATGTACCCCAGGGTGCCACAGCACACTAGTTGAAAACCACTGTTTAGACCACAACTCCCATGAGCTCCAGGCCACACTCTGAACTGACCTCAAACCCCGAGCTTCAAAACACTAGTGACAAAAGCGTATCATGCTAATTATGCAGTGACAAAAGCATATCATGCTAAATTATTTCAAAACCACACAACCTACACTATACATTCAGAGCTACCATGCCAGTTTTCTGTTAACATTTTGGATTCGAAAATACGCTAAGTTTCTAATCACTCCCTCTTGAGCCAGCTAATAAATGCAGAATGTATCTTTCATTTTTATATTTGTAAGACTAAAGACTGGTAGAATGCAGGGCAGATAAAGCATCCAATATATGAAAAAATGAAAAAAGTACAAATTAAAATGTTGAAGGCAGAAAATAATTTGCATTAGACTGTATAAACCCAAATTAAAAAATAAGGATGTGGGGGGAAATCCGTCTATTTTTTAACCATTCTTAAAAAGGGCACGAACCACTCAGTCTGTGTTCTCTCCCTCCAACCTCCTTAATAAAGAGGAGGCGGAACGGTCATCAATAGCAGGCAGCAGCTGCAAAATGCAACACTGCCTGCTCGCTTCGCGCTCAGAAGAGAACACTTTAACTCCTCCTCGTGGTTTCCGAGGCCAATCACTTTCGAGTACACTTCTCTAGTTACAAACTATAGAAATGATCCCTGAAAGTATAGTCTTAACTCGGCACTCCGCGCTTCAAAGGCCAGGCGGCGGCTCTCCGCTTCCCAGCTCACGGTAGCGCAACAGCCTCCGCTCGGTTCCTTGCCCCTCCCCGCCCGTGTCCCCGACCCTCTCCCCCAAATGTTGCACCCGGAGGCGGCAAGGCTGCTATTCCCGCCCACGTCCGCCGCTGTGGCTCCATTCCGAGCGAAATTACCGAGTTTCAATTATATTCCCAGCAAAACCCCTTGGAAGCAGGACGCGGGGCCACGCCTCCTATTTTGCATAGTCCCCGCCCCTCAAAATAGGCCACGCGTTTTCGTCTCTCCTTAAGCCTCGATCCAAGGAAGATTTATTATTCTACTTCTTAATTTAAGTTATTTACTACTGCTGCTTTTATATATGGTAATGTAGGAATGCCATAGAGGAAGAGAAAGCAAGTCCACATCTTTCCCTTACTCCTACATCCTCAAGGGGAAAATGGTATCAGGAATCAGGTACACTTTTTGTTTTTACATAGAGATATTTATCTACAGCTGCTCTCTATCCTATACACACTTGCCAAGGAATAAGTATCATTACAGAGGTATCCTCCTCAGTACTGTATGCATATTGCAGTATTGCAGCGTGCAAGGGCTTCTCACACGCTTAGCAAACTGGAGGTGTTCCTATTGTCACCAGGATTTTTGTTGGGGGAAGGCTTTTGTTAGGGCAGGGCAGAACCTCAGATCTGTATTGATATGTACTGATTTAGGGGGAGCAGCTGCCCCCCCCAGCTACAGCTGTGAGCTTACCACCTAGTAAGCATGCTTTGTGTCACTCACAACAAGTAGTAAATACTGTAACAAGATTTCCTTCTAAAAGGTACATCTAGACTAGAGTGCAAACAAACCTGGGCAAGTTTTCCTCAGAATTAAGTCCAACTGTGTTTAAGAGGATTTTCTTCCCCTGCACAGGATCCCAGCCTTAATCAGTTATCCTGTTTCAAAACCTGTTGCATCCACAAACTCGGCAAGCATAGAAGGGATTGATCCCCCACACTTATTTTACCACAGTGCATTTAGAAATAGGTAGCCCCTACACATGAAGGGTGCATTTTGCTACCATAGCTAATGTAAAAAAAGGGTAAAGGACCCGTGACAGTTCAGTCCAGTCGCGAACGACTCTGGGGTTGCGGCGCTCATCTTGCTTTACTGGTCGAGGAAGCCGACGTGTACCTATTTATCTGCTTGCACTTTGATGTGCTTTCGAACTGCTAGGTTGGCAGGAGCTGGGACCGACCAACAGGAGCTCACCCCGTCACAGGGATTCGAACCGCCAACCTTCTGATCAGCAAGTCCTAGGCTCAGTGGTTTAGACCACAGAGCCACCTGCATCCCTATAGCTAATGTACTCACAGCTAAATATAACCTGTGGAACTTATTTCCACAGGAGGTGGTGACTGCCACCAGCTTGGATTGGCTTGAAGGTAAAATTGGACAAATTCATGGGGTGGGAGGACTAAGGCTATCAATGGCTACTAGCCATGACAACTCTGCTTTCCTCTAGTTGCTGGAAACTACAAGAGGGAGTGTGCTTGTGCTCAAGTCCTGCTTCTGGTTGGCCACTATAAAACTAGGATGCTGGATTAGATAGGCCATTGGCCTGATCCAGCAGGCTCCTCTTACATTTGGTTAGTTGCTAACAGATATACTGTTATATATCCTGTGCATTTGTATAATGTTCCTTGACTTTGATATTTGAACCAGAAAGTGGGGGAACAGAACAGAGTTTTATCTCTGTTTGTGCTTATGTATTGAATTGGATGCTAACTGTAATTGAGTTCCTGTCGGGGGTGGGGTATAACAACAACAACAACCAGGAAGACAAAGCTTCATATCCCCACTCAGCTATGAAGACAGTCACTTATTTCCCAGCCAAACCTACCTTTACAGGGTTGAATGTAAGGATAAAATAGGGGAAAGGGATAAGCAAAGGTTGGATATAAACGTAATGTATGAAAATATCTTAAACTTCCTGGGTAGATGAATGCAAAAGTCTCATCATCATCAAAGGATCCGGGATTTATCGATGTGTGCTCTAGAACAGAGAACCCCTAACAAAGTCCTCTATATTTGTAACCTAGGCTGAAAGCTGATGAGAAATTGGGATAAAATTACGTGCAGAATGTTTTCTAAGGATATGCAAATTGAGATTGTTGTATCAGTACAGTATTGGTATTTGTGAATATAATTAGAATTTTAAAGAGATTACTTTGTGTGCTATCCCAGCAGTCTTCACTCAGAAAGGACAAAATACAAATACCCATTCAGCAAATGATGGAGGAATTAACCTGGGTCCTTTTGCAAGCAAACAGAATGCTTGCTCTGCCACTAAGCTCCTATACCCCCAGAAATCTGTATTGCAGTAGATTTATATTTGCTGGAATAACACTGGCAGAATGTGAAAATAAGATAAAGCCAATAAATATAACCTATAAACATGGAAAAAAAAGAAATCCTCCAGTACTATAAAATACTAGCATTAAAAAAACCAACCTAAGCCTACTTTTTAACATTTTTTAAAAATGGCACGAACCACTCAGTCTGTGTTCTCTCCCTCCAACCTCCTTAATAAAAAGGAGGCGGAACGGTCATCAATAGCAGGCAGCAGCTGCAAAATGCAACACTGCCTGCTCGCTTCGCGCTCAGAAGAGAACACTTTAACTCCTCCTCGTGGTTTCCGAGGCCAATCACTTTCGAGTACACTTCTCTAGTTACAAACTATAGAAATGATCCCTGAAAGTATAGTCTTAACTCGGCACTCCGCGCTTCAAAGGCCAGGCGGCGGCTCTCCGCTTCCCAGCTCACGGTAGCGCAACAGCCTCCGCTCGGTTCCTTGCCCCTCCCCGCCCGTGTCCCCGACCCTCTCCCCCAAATGTTGCACCCGGAGGCGGCAAGGCTGCTATTCCCGCCCACGTCCGCCGCTGTGGCTCCATTCCGAGCGAAATTACCGAGTTTCAATTATATTCCCCGCAAAACCCCTTGGAAGCAGGACGCGGGGCCACGCCCCCTATTTTGCATAGTCCCCGCCCCCTGTGACGCCCAACCGTGCTTGCAGTTCTTCAACCCTTGGCGTAAAGATTATTCCACTTTGCGATATCCTCAGTACAGTACCTACATTTTTTGAGGCAGACTGCCCCTCCAAAGGAAGACTCCCTTTTGCAATTACAGCTAATGATTCTCTTTGCATTCCTATTAACCCATTATCTAGGCATTCCTATAAACAATCCACCTAAGACAAACCTTTATTTCATTACAAAGCACCATAGAGAAAGGGAAAATGCAGTAAGATTTAAAAGAAGTAGTGCTGTTATAGATCAATGCAAAGTGTGAGGCAGCACAATCAGTGTCTTTTTCACACCTCACCCCGAGCCCAAGCCCTAATCAGGCTGAAGGAGCGCAGAGGGAGGTACTATGTTGTTTATTTTCATACATAATAAATAGTATTTTCCTACCCCTGGGGGGGATTCCAATTATTTAAAAGCTGCAAACCAGATCCATGCAGTCCTCACAACTAAAAATGCAAAGGGATAGAAGCTGTCTCATCAGTGGTGCAACTGGGACATTTAATTTAGCCTCTAAACCAGGGGTCAGCAAGCTTTTTCAGCAGGGGGCCAGTCCACTGTCCCTCAATTTTTAATTTTTAAATTCTTTTGGAAGGATTCTTTTAAAGACTTTTTTAGATCATATAGCTTTTTTTGAAGACTTGATTCTTTTATGGGAGTTTTTAGGTTTTTAAGAAGAGTCTTTTTAACCATCTTTTTAAAGAATTGTTTTAATTTATTTTGACTATGGCAGACCAACACGCTACCTACTTGAAACCACCTTGAGACACTGTCAGGGGGAAATGCAATGAATAAATAAATAATATAAAAATAACGATAATAGTGTACTACGACACGTAAAGGTAAAGGGACCCCTGACCATTAGGTCCAGTCGTGACCGACTCTGGGGTTGCGGTGCTCATCTCGCTTTATTGACTGAGGGAGCCTGTGTACAGCTTCCGGTTCATGTGGCCAGCATGACTAAGCCGCTTCTGGCGAACCAGAGCAGCACACGGAAATGCCGTTTACCTTCCCGCCGGAGTGGTACCTATTTATCTACTTGCACTTTGACGTGCTTTCGAACTGCTAGGTTGGCAGGAGCAGGGACCGAGGAACGGGAGCTCACCCTGTTGCGGGGATTCGAACCGCCGACCTTCTGATCGGCAAGTCCTAGGCTCTGTGGTTTAACCCACAGCGCCACCTGCGTCCCTACTACGACACTTAGAATCATAGAATTGTCGAGTTGAAAGGGCCCATGAGGGTCATCTAGTCCAACCCCCTGCAATGAAGGAATATTTTGCCCAACATGGGGCCCGAACCCACTACCATGAGATCAAAAGCCTCATGCTTAACATGTGGTAAAGCAGGGCTGGTCTTTTTGCGGGGTAGCAGGGGCTCCCCCCTAATTCTGCTGAAACGGGGGGGGGCTGCTTCTGTTCACTCTCCAGAGTTGGGGGGGTGAAGTTCTGCCCACAAAGTCCTACTCCGAAGGATACCTCTGCCCCCACCTCCAACACCAGCCCTTACCTTTTTTCAGAAGTTTCTTCACTTTCACGTGATTGCCTTGCTTCACATATTCGTGCAAACGAGCTTCAAGAGATTCGCTCTTCAACGTCCCCAGTTTCACTGGACAGGGGATAGGGAGTAAATGGGCCATTGTCCTTGGTCCCCACAAAAAAAGAAAGATAGTTCAGGAGAGGCTTTATTGGGGGGGGTCTTCCACTAACATTATCCCATCCAAACACACACACACGTTCTTTTTAAGGCTGCAAATCTACTGTGCTGCTCGGAGTAAAGGCTCAGCGACCTCAACCGGGCGCAAACTCGCACGTGTGCGCCCCACTCCAAGACTAACTTCGAATCCCGCGTTACATCTACGCTCCTTGCTAAAGAGTAAATTCGGATTGCCTCCATTTTACGTATTATCACATTCATTACCCGTCCTAGGTCAGGTTGCCAGAATTTAAAATTCAGAATTAACAAGAGTTAAAAAAACAGAGCACAGCCGCCAGGAATAGCGTGGGCCCTGAAGGTGTCGATGGCCAGGGTAAAGGGGTGAGTGTTTCCCGCATTTAATAGGGGATTTTTATTTTTATTTTGGTGCGGGGGCACAATCCACTCTTCCAAATCACTTTCACGCACACAGCCACCCTCAAGCATGCTTTTTAATAAAGCATGACATGCCACTGATTTCCGTGGAACAAAGCAAATGCGTTTAGGATTGCAGCAAGGGCTGCTATTTCCGCACTTTGGGATGTGGATGCAAGCATGCCCCGCAAATGATCCAAAGTCCCGCCACGTTTTCCCTTTTCCTCATTTTGTCTGCGTCTCTGACTCGGGCCTCACTCCTAATATCTCTCCCGACAAGATCCAAGCTACTGCTGCCGCCCCCCCCCCCAGCAACTCCTCTCTTGCTATAACTACACCTGCCTCCCCCTCCTAAATTATCCTTTCCCGCCCCTGAACAGGTCTCCTTTCCCGGTCCCAGACCGTGAAACCCACCTGCCCACCCCTTTTGCCAACCGTCGAGGTCTTCATCCGTTAGCTGCTCTGGGGAGCGCGTTCCTTTCGTGGGATCCAACGTGCATGCGCCCGCCTGCGCGAGGGCGCTCAGAAATGTTTATGCACCCAGAACTTGCAATGAAGGTTGCACGAAAATGCGCGTGAGATTTGTGCACCTTAAACTGGGCTACAAAATGAGAGATTGCTGGAGTTGTGTGAGAGAGACACACACTCTCAAACATCCAAATTGGGTTACAGCAATGATTGCATGGCTGTGTTATAATATTCATTCATCGTTTTGTGCGCAAGATTGCATGCTCTCAAGTGGTTTACAAGTAAAAGACTGCGGGAGTTGTAAGATTTATGCATTCTACTTATGCTACATTGCATTCCTGTGTGCAACATTCATTACCCTGTAACATTTATGCACCCTGACTGGTTTATAATAAAGATTGCATGACTGCGCGAAGGGGGTGGTATTCATGCACTGTGTGAGTGGTTAATATTTATGCACCCTGAGTGGGTTGGAATATAAGATTGCACAGCTGTGGTGTGCAATATTCATGAAGTGTGCAGATGGGTGTGATATTTATGTACCTTAACTAAGTTACAGTAAATGGTGGAAGTAATTTCACTTTGTATGATCATTAAATTCAGTGTGTGTTATATTATTCCATCTGTGTGTCTCTGTAATATTTATGCATTCTATTGGGTTACAATTAAAAAATGCCCAACGTGTGTGCAGCTAGAGGCCCAGGTCTAAATTTTTGCACCTATTTTGGTGCTTTGGATTAAATTTTAGGAAGTGGACAGGTGAAAGGACGTCTTCCAATAGTTATTTAGGATAGGTAAAGGAAGCATTCAGGTTCAGGGGCAGTCTACCACTCAATACCCTCCAGAGTCATCAGTTTGACTGACTCCTTATTGGAAACAGGAAACTAAACTAGGTGGCTGCTTAATCTAGCAGCAGGGATCTTCTTTTCCAGAAAGAAGCCAATAAGAAGTCAAATAAGATTACCCTGGGAGGGGATCCAGTCCTCTAAGATATTATTAATACCCCAACCTCAGAATCCTGTACGTATTCTCAAATGCATCACATCATTTGGTGATTGCAGAGGAATTTCAGGCAAAAAAAAGCACAGGGTTAAAAATAAGAGAACACGGTATTGCAGAGATAATTCAGGGGGCCAAGAGTAGATCCAATTAAATAAATCGAGGTCTAAATAGACATGACTACAGTCTCAATATGTGCAGGGAACAGCCATCCCAGGAAACTGTGTATCTGAAGCCTATATGGGTCTTAAGTACCGTAAGTCCCATTGAGTTCAGTGGGGCCTATTGCCATGTACTGTAAATAGGCACAGCATTGCCACTGTGCAGCACAATCCTATACTCAAGATCCTTTGAATTAAATGGGGTTTATGCCCATGTAATTGAGCAAAGGGTAGGAATCCTAGGTGTGTCTCTTCAGAAGCCCCATTGAATTTAATGGGATTTTCTCCTTACAAGTGTGCACTGGGGTGCGTTTCCCCTCAGGAGTAACATCCAGTGTATTTGATGGGATTTATAGCAGTGTATTTGGGCAAAAGACTGAAATCCTATGTGTTTCTCAGAAGCCCCGTTGAATTAAATGGGATTTACTCCTGTCTGCAGGTAACTGGGCCACAACCCTATGTGGCTCCTCAGCAGTAAACCCCATTGAAATAAATAGAATTTACTGCCATGTTAAGTGGGCACAGGGTTGCATGAATTAAATGGGATTTACTCCTACGTTAGTGGGCATCAGGGTTGCAGCTCCATGTTTGCCTCCTCAGAAGTAAACCCTACTGAATCAAGTGAGATTTACTGCCTTTTAAGACGGCGTGGGGTTGCAATCCTATGAATTAAGTGGCTATGTAAGTAGGCGTCAGAGTTGCAGCTTCATCTTTGTCTCCTCAGAAGTCAGTCCCACTGAATTAAATGAGATTTACTGCCTTTTTAAGATAGTGCGGGGTGGTAAACTACACTATGACTTAAATGGGATTTACGCCCAATGCAAGCGGGCGCCAGGGTAGCGACCCCATGTTTGTCTCCTCAGCAGTAACTCCCATTGAATCAAATGGGATTTCCTGCCCAGGGTTGCGACTGTATTATACACGGCTCCCCAGGAGCTAGCCCCATTGACTTCAATGGGATATATAATACTGCCAAAAGTCAGTAAGGGAGCGGGGTCGCAACCCTGTGCCCTTCTCCTCTCCTCAGAAGCGACTACTGTATTTCTTCTTCCCCTGTGGGAGGAGAAAAATGCCGCTCCAAAAAGGGGGCCGGGCTGAGAGGAATGGAGGACCGCCTTCTCCTCCTCCTCCATCATGGAGCCGAGGGACGTGGGCAGCTTCCCTTTGCCGCCGAGTCTCCGGGAGAAGTTAGTGGCTGCCGGCTTCCAGACGGCCCAAGAAGTGGTCGAGGTCGGGCCCTGTCAGCTCAGCAAAGGTACCGACGAAGAGGCGGCGGCGGCGAAAACGCCGTAGCTGAGGAGAAAGACGTTTTCCCGCGCAAACGCTTCCCGCCAATTTTTAAATTTCCCCCTCAGCCAGCCTTGTCTCGGGTTAGGTGCCAGGCGCCCTCTCCTCACTAATGCTCCTCCAGGATTTACGTATTAGCTAAACAAGCTTATATATATATATATCTTGGGGCCCCACTCTCTTGGGTCCCCCAAAAAATTTAAAGGGAAAAGGTGGATGTACATTTCCAAAATATAAGATAAAAAACCTGCCCCCCCCATTTTCATGTTGGCACCCCTGTTCTGTGAAAAAACCCTATGATGGTGAGCAAGCAGACAAGAAGACAACTTGCCCACCATTACTTATTCTTCACAGAAATATTATTCTAGGGTGTTGGGTGAATTCTGCATTACTGCCAGTGTGCCTTGTAGGTGCCCTGTGTGAATTGGGGCCTACGATATAATAATAATAATAATAATAATAATAATAATAATAATAATAATAATAATAATAATAATAATACCTGCCCTTCACCATGAGGTTGCAGGGCAGGTCACAACAATGTAAAATACAGTGTTTTGTGTTGTGTAGGCTCCTATGATGTACATATTTTGTTATGTGCAAATGGCTTTAGATACCTATTAGGTCCATAAATTACCATATAGCATATCTTCGAAACAAAAAAACAAAAGCGATTTGTTGTTGACAAAGGACAGCTGGACATATAAAGGGCCCCATTACCTTCAGCAGCTTAGGGCCTCATCAAACCTAAATCCGGCCCTGTTCCTCCTCATAATAAAAAACGATAACATGATAATATATCCCAGCCTGAGTCATAGTTGAGAGTAGGCCTATTGGAACCAGTTGTTTGATGTCCGCCTTGAATCGTAATGGAGAGTAGACCTATTGAAATCAATTGCTTCCAATCCACCCACCTTAACGTCGCAACTGTAAGGAGTAGAGACATGGACCCCGATATTTGATATCCGCCTTTAGTTATAATTAATAGTAGACCCGTTGACGTCAATGGTTGGATATCCAGTGTTAGTAATTTTGAGTTAACACTCGTTAAAATCAAAGGACTTTGGGGTGATACTGTTGGATCTGCTCAGGAGTGTGGCTAGCAATCAATAGCTCCCATTGTTGATTAGTAGTAAAGGCTTCTCAAGTGTTAATTAAAAAGCTTTATGTGATATTAATGATCTATTTAGTAATTATCTATTTGTGTGGTGTTGTATCCTTATTTAATGCTTTACAAATCTTAATTTAAAAAAAACAAAAACACTTTGTGTGGTATCTATACATATTAATACAAACAATAACCACAGAGCTTCAAAAATGAAGACTTGGAAAGCATTATTAAATATGGTAATAAAAGTATTCAGGGTTGTGTTTTTTTTAAAAAAAAAGCTTTGTGGTATCCATCATTATCATTCCTTATATAATAGATATATCCTTATATAATAATGCTCTCAGAAGTCTTAATTTAAAAAAAAAATACACAAAGCTTTGTGTAGTGTCAGAAAGGGATCTGGTTTTGCCCTATTGAGGCTTTAAAAACTGATCTTTCCAACATGGAAAGATGGTAGGGACCTTGAAGGTTTTTTCTAAGCCTAATTATTGGTTGAGCCACTAACAAAAACTTTGATCGGTTCATTAAGGCTGTACAGGAATCCTAAACTCCTATTTTACAGTGGGGGTAATACATGACATTGAACTTGATGGGACTTCTGAGCAGACCTGCAGCAGGATCATGTTGAAAGAGAGGATCCCACTGAAAACAAGTTGTTGGCTTGAAAGGAATCAGCTGGTGGTCTTTTTGTATATAGACAGAAATACTATTCAGGAACTCTGCATTTTGTGCATTGAACCAAAGTTGTGTAGTTGTGGTTATAGTGTTGGACTAATACCTGGGAGGCCTGGGTTCAAATCTCCATTGTTATTGTTATTATATTTGTTGGTCACTTTATCTTGACCGGGGCAACCCAAACCAACAAATAAACAGGCGATAAAGCCCACCTATATACATTGAAACCAAGAGGAAAGAGAAATACATTTAAAACATCACACTCACTTCTTAAAGGCCGCAGATAGTTAAAGCCCAGGGTATAGAGAAATGTTTTTGCCTGGTGCCTAAAGATAAGTGGTGTAGGTGGCAGGCAAGCCTCCCTGGGGACAGCATTCCATAAACATTTTCTGTGAACCACCCTGAGACCTCCAGGTCTAGGGCGGTACTGTATATAAATTCAGTAAATAAATACCGTATTTTTCGCTCTCTAAGACGCACCAGACCACAAGACGCACCTAGTTTTTGGAGGAGGAAAACAAGGAAAAAAAATATTCTGAATCTCAAGCCAGAACAGCAAGAGGGATCTCTGCGCAGTGAAAGCAGCGCTCCCTCTTGCTGTTCTGGCTTCTGGGATAGCTGCGCAGCCTGCATTCGCTCCATAAGACACACACACAGACATTTCCCCTTACTTTTTAGGAGGGAAAAAGTGAGTCTTATAGAGCAAAAAATATGGTAAATAAAACGGGGAGCTACCACAGAAAAGCTCTCTGGGTGACCTTGGGCCAATCTCAGCCTAACTTACCTCACAGGGTTATTATGAAGGCAAAACAGAAAGGAGAGAGCTGTGTATAATACCTTGAACTCCTTGAAGGGAAAGTGGAATATAAATGTAATAATACAAATGTATTCCTTGTGTAGGCAGTTTATCCTATGAGTAAATCCCATTTAACTCAGTGGGGCCTGCTTCTGAGGAGATATGATGAATAAGATTGCACTGTTAATTTGTCACTTGGTGTTCATAACCACTAGATGTCACTATTATATTGCGCTTCAGAAGAAGATACTCTGGTTTCCAGTCCTCTTTACTAGTTATTTTTGTAATGCATTGCATTTATTTGGATAATGTGCAAATGCCTAAAATTACAGACTGAAAAAAGAAAATGTATATAATCAAAACACTTGCCAAAATGTATTACAAACAGGGATATTTGTATTTTGGTGAGTTCCCCACTCCCCTTAGTAAGTAATTTGTAACTTGTGCTTTTGCAATTGAACATAAACGATGCATTAGAATATATATTAGATGCAGTCAGTCAAATGCAGTTAAACATCACCATTAAAGAATCACAATTACTCCTTTTTAAAAAAACGTAATAAACCTTCAGCAAAATATTATGTTTTCAGTCAGTCAAGCCTTACATCGTTAACGTCAGGGTATTTGCACATAGGAAAAGAAGGGAACCATTTTAATTCACTACTTTGGTTTGCCCCGTAACTGTCAGTGGCAAAATTATGAACAGTATTAGTTAGAAGAATGCATTAAAAATTGCCTTCTATTGTCTCAGACCATTGGTCCACATAACTCAATATTGTCTACACTGACTGGCAGCAGTCCTCCAAGGTTTCAGACAGGAGTCTTTTTCCAGCCCTCGTTGGAGATGCCAGAGGGTGAACCTGGGACTGTCATCATGCTAAGTAGATGTTTTCTACTGAGCTACGACCCTTCCCTTACTATCCTTTGCTTTTTAGAAAATTAAAGTCTACTGTATTTTGTTTTTCCCCCCAGAAGTTGGGATTTCAAAACAGGAGGCCTTAGAAATTCTGCAAGTGATCAAACGGGAACGACATGGCGTTGAAGCAAACACTGTGGGGTTGGATCAGGCACCAGCCAAGAAGTACACAGCCCTTGAACTTCTGGAAGAGGAGCAAGCTCACGGTTTCATTATAACCTTTTGCTCTGAACTGGATGGTATCCTGGGAGGGGGCATTCAGCTGACAAAAATCACAGAGATCTGCGGAGTGCCAGGAGTCGGCAAAACACAACTATGGTAAGCACTGCTGCCAAAACTCACATTTAAAAGCCTTTTCTGCACTTCTCACGATTCACTATAGTCTGGGGGGGGGGTAGACTATGGTCATGGTAGCTCTTCATTTTAGCCCTGATGGATCTTGCTCAGAAGAGTCCATAGCTCAGTAGAAGTGCATCTTCCCCTGTTGCTTCCATTTGTTTCAGCGGAACTTGCTTCCAATTAGGTAAGCAAACACGTTCAGTGCTTAGTGCTTTATTGTGTCACAGTGGGTGTTTTCTAAACCTGAAGATTTTCATAGGCTGACACAGTGCCCAGTTGCCCATTCCACATTGCATAAATCTCTTTGTAGTGTCATTTCCTGTCTGGGTTCTCCCACACTCTCTGCCAGAAGAGGGGGGGTGGGGAGATTCCGCCAGTCATGAGCTGGGGGGGGGTGTGCTTTTAGTAACCCTTATTTATTGATCTATAACTATCTTTCTCCCTGTGACCATGTCTTTATGTCCTCTTTCTCAGCATGCAACTAGTGGTGGACGTGCAGATTCCAGAATGCTTCGGAGGGCTTGATGGAGAAGCTGTTTTCATAGACACCGAAGGGAGCTTTATGGTAGACCGAGTCGCAGATATGGCAACGGCCTGTGTTGAGCATTGCCAGCTTATTGCTGAAACACATCCGGAAGAAGGTTTATTATCAAGCTATATGCCCACCTAAGGCTTGGGGGCGGGGTGTAACATCAGGTCTGGAGACCAAATGAAGCCCTCCAGGCATCTTTATCTGGTCCTCATAGCTTGTAGGCCACAGCCTACAAGTCATGAGCTGTTACAAGTTGCCTTGTAACAGCTTTTTTTTTTATTAGGAGGGGAACATTGCCTTGCCCTCTGCCTAGATGTCTTCCACCGCTACACTGAGAATGTCCTGTTCTGTTGACTTCCATAGCCAGG